GACTTGTATTCTTTTGACACAGGTTGCTATTATACAAGGCCTGGCACAATTCCCACAAAACAATTTAGAAATATGATTATTTGCCCTGATAATCTCCATATTAACAAATATTGACATTAATCTTTTATTCTTTAATCCCAGGAGTGTTATCGTCGCCAGTATCTCGAGGTTCACACTGTACGCCAGGGTAGACACACGTGAGGCAGCCAATGTCGACTTGACTCCGTACATTGAACATTATCATACCAACACTATGTGGCATATCAAATACCGTAAGTATTTTATCAAGTGCCTTCATTATTTATTGCCTTGCACACATGGTGTTATAATACTAGCCAATATTTTATTCAATACATTGTATGACCTACTCAAGGTAGCTGTTGCTTAACCCTGTGTTATTGTGTTCATGGGGGACGATCTGACTTGAACGTATCCAAGAGATCTCAAAACTCAAAACTATCAAAACTAGAAACTAACATTATTTTGATCACGTGTGTAATCAGTATAAATAGTATGAATATGTACAGAGTACATAAAAGTTAAACCCCGCAGTATGTAAAACTTCCTCAATACTTCTATACCCTTTCAGATCTCCACAGAGCCAGGGGTTGTGTTCACTGAACCATGTAAAAAACAAACAGACCTCCATTCCTGAACACTTGGGCTCTTGGACTGATATACCGTATTCGACGTAATAAGCGCCCAGGGCGCTCTCAAAATTAGAAATAGGGGGCTCTTATTAGAATATAATTTGAGTTGAAAGATCGTAAATTTCGTGATTTAGGGTGACAGCCTGAAAAGAAACAAATGAAACGTCTGTGCGTATTATCATGATTATACACGACAGATATATTTTCCCAGATTTAATTGCCCATAATTTAGAGTGCATATAACACACGAGTGCATATAATACATGAATAAATAAGTGTTCATTGATCAATCGGAAGGGGTGCTAATTGGGATTGTTCACTAGCCAATATATATGAAAATATTGCCGTGGGCGCTTATTAGAGCGGGGCGCTTATTACGTCGAATACGGTAGTTCTGAAGTGGGTCAAACATTTTCAGAGGGGACACTAATGGGTTACTCCACCCATAACAACTCATATCTATGTGAAGCTTTGCATGACTGCATACAAATTATCGCAAATATCCTGTACAAGGAAGTAGCCTGATTCAAGAAGAAATATAAACATTTGGTTATTCAGTTTCTTTAGTTCTATTTACCAGGTCCACATCTAGCATAGCTGGTAACACCTATGTTAGCAATAAGAATTGAGCAAATGATTAACTACTTTCAGCAATGAAAAAAAGGAGATAGTGCTTTTAATTGGCACTGGCATAACCGATGAGTTATCGCCATTTTTTTCAAGTTATTTCTGACATATTCTGTGTACAAAGTTGATTTTTGTGAAACAAGGAGCAAATGCGCTTACTTCTGTCCGTGGAATAAGTTTCAGTAGATTTCTGTTATAACGCTATGATAGTGAATCAAAGCAGTGGAAATAGGACATTTCCCGTCAACTAACAGCACCAGTTATCGCCATCTTAACAGTGTGTGCCACGTGATCACGCGCATTGCTTCAGCTGTACAAAATACATTACACATGCTGATCCATATCACTTAGTACTATGGATTTTGCGATATATACAGGGTTATGCATTTTTGGAAAATAGCTCCAATAGGTTTTAGACTTATATTTTGGGAAAGAAATGACAGATAGATAGTAAGCAATGACAGAACAGAATGTACATCTTCGTGTTGTTTGATTTTTTTTGGCGTGTCTTTTCAAAAGTTGTATTTGAACAAGTTGATTATGGTGTTTTTTAATATTTCTTCACAAGAGTCCCTTTTGTTCATCATTTTGGGATAAATATTTCTCTCTTCTATTGAAAACGAGCAAAAGCAAAACGAGATGCGATCACATGAAATGTTGAGTGGTATGAAAATATGAACTTAGAACTGTATATACTGTACAGTTACTTTCATACACACAACTCTACAGATAACAACTTTGCAGATAACAACTTTGGTTTAATGCAATAAACTACCAGAACTTTGTTATCCATAAAATTGCATGTTTCATGCTTGTACACAAATTTTATTGCAATTAAATTTTCAATGCAATAATATGCTAATTGGGCTCAAAAGGTGGAACCAAAATACTTCATCACATTATATAGTACTCCCTTCATCAATGTTCACTTTGATGAAAGATATCTTTATGCAAATATTCTGATGTGCTTTGGGATAAAATATTATGATTTATCATTTTCATAAAATCACCTTTGTGAAGCGACACAAAAAAACGGACTCTCTGTGTTACCGTTAATAGAATCTTATATAATGTGAATAGCTGGTTTATGTTCATGCAGTCTATTCTATTCATAAAAACAACAAATGGAGGTACAGAGTTCTGGTCGGGTAGTTTTCACTGGATTGAGTTCAATGTGAACGAAATGGGCGCGGCAATTCAAGGGCTGTCACAGTATCTAATTAGGCATGCTATCAAATCACAGTGTCTTTATAATCAACACTCGCATTACATGTATATAAGTGCAATTGTAAAAAGAGAGAACCTGTCCCAAAACAGATTATGCATATATACCTGTAAATATTTACACGGAACATAACCGATGGCGTTGTCCTTCAGGGAGCGGGCACCCCACCAATCAGTCTGTTTGTGACAGTCAAAAATTTCAAACTTGTCTCCCTTCTGAAATGACAAAATATTCTGAGACCCCTCAGTATCCGGGGGAACGAAGTCCGAGACCGCACGGTATATCTCCATTTTCTTGTCCCCTGCGCTGTCAAGTAAACATGCTACGTCGAACCGGCGATTGTATTCTCGCGGGACGATGACAGCCTTTCATCAACAAAGAATGATATAATCCGGAAACAGGTGTTCGGTAAGAGTTATCTTCCCCTCATTCGCAAGGTCATAGGTCGGATAATTTTCGTATCAAATCGGATATTTCCGTTGATATGAAAAACAATTATATCGTTATTTTCAGAACCATTTTCACAATAGTGTCCTCATATTTACATATTATGTTAGTTTAAGCGACGTTATGATTATTGTATTGATTTCTGTTAGACACATTATTCAAATAGTAAAGGTTGAACTCGGAGCCCCTGACATGAAATAAGAATGGCAGGATTTTTGAAAAAATCGAACTGAAATGATTTTTATATCAAACACGCGATAATAAATATTAAAAAAAACTATTAATAAACTATAATGATTAACGCTAACGTTAATAAATGCACACCTACTGGTTACTTGTTAAAACAGGACCGTGTAACTGTACCTTCGATAAATATAAAATGCCTTTCAACGTATTCGTGTTGCACAGTAATAATTATGTCCGGCGCTATCAAAGGTATCAAATCTACGTTTATAATCTCTAAAATGAAAACACTGTAGTTTTTTTCTGCTAAAGACGTGATTTACAGGTTCATTACCCTGGCAGTAAATCCAATACAGCGATTACATACTAAGCTCATTTAGAATTGACAGAAGCAGTAACTGGTCAGTGGCATCTAGAGCCCCGTTTACACGACCACGTTTACTTATATAGGTAAATATACTTACGTAAGTATATATACTCACATAAGTAAAAGTGGTCGTGTAAACGCATTTGCTTACGTAAGCAAATATACTCCAGGAGGATTTTACTTCACCTAAAGGGGTTGTGCAAAAGTATATTTACTTATAAGCAAATATACTCCTGGAGTTAATATGCTTATGTGAGTAACATTTGGCCGTATAAACGGTAACTTGTTTACGAGGTGTTAAGTGTCCTGATGTATGCATCTTATGTAACCTCCTTGCTCATTACAGGTTAATCCTCCATCCATGCATGCCATCTGCATCCCCTTCTTCTAGTTGCCACTCAAAGACCTTGAATTAAAAAAGACTTTGACGCAGTGATTGCATCAACATGGTTGGTCGCAAAGTTGAATCAAATGAAAGCGCTCGTAAAATCGCCCTAATCATCACGATTGATTGATTGTACGTGTTATTCTGGATACAAGTGGCCAAGTTGTGCAGAGTTGTGTCCCTTAGGTGGGCCTGAAATCTGGGATCCTGATTATGTTTCTTGGTTTGTGAGCGCCATCTCGTGGTCGTGGGATTTACCCACGGTAAACGCCTGACACCTACAACTCCATCAGAGAATGACACCCGGTAATACCACCGAAATGCTGTTCAAAGTGGAGTTAAGCCAAATTCCACCATGAATTTAGAAAGAACTCAACTCTGATTAGTCAATCAGGTGTTTCAAATCACAATAACAACCTCTAATTAAAACAGCTGATTTAAAAGCCGCATCACCACGGAATATGATATTTCTCACTCACTCACCCACCCACTTACTCACTCACTTTCTCATAATAAACGTTTTGAAAGCTTTGCTGATGCCTTGAATAGTGAGTGAGTGAGTTTGGTTTTACGCCGCTTTTAGCAATATTCCAGCAATATCACGGCGGGAGACACCAGAAATGGGCTTCACACATTGTACCCATGTCGGGATTCGAACCCGGGTCTTCGGCGTGATGAGCGAACGCTTTAACCACTAGGCTACCCGACCGCCCCCCTAGTCAAATAACGATGTATGGCGCTTTTTGAAATCTTCACAGAAAAAATATGCTCGATTGTCCCTGAAAAAAAATGTAAAATGTAGACACCACAAGCTAGAGTTGTTGGAATATTGCAGTGATCTTTTCATATTAAATGTCCTATGGTAATTCTTTACCTGTGGAAACAGTTCAAGCCCAAATGCGTATTTTTCTTTTTAAAACAAATCTGCCGTTTTATTTTAATACTTTGTTTAAAAAAAGCCATATTGTCAAAATACATATATTCCCGAACTAATATATTTTCTTTGCAGATTGTCGTTACGTTATTGTCTCAAAGAGGTTAACATATTTGGATTGTACAAAACGCTTCGTTTCGTTTATGAGTTGCAACTTTTAGTCAACCATTGTTTACGTTTTACCAAGCAGCATGACGGAAGTGGTTCACATATGGTTAAAGCCGTCGAGTTTATTGACCGACTGTGAGTGGCACTGAATGGGGAGTCGCGTGACAGTGCTGTATCTCAGATCGAACGGTTCAACGCAGCAACGCTCTCTTGGGAGAACCGAAGTATCGACTGATTGATGCTGTAGAGATGTTGTCAAAGTAAACGAGTATAGCGTTATCTGATCGCTCGCACCGGCCAGCGACACAGGAGTGAATATACACGCGATAATCAGGCTTACAGAGTCTTTTTCACCTTTCCAGTTCTGTTCTGATTGGAAGGATGACGCCGAAAGCACGATGGCTTTCACCTAGTAAGTACAATTTGATCAACATGGGGACCAACATTATTGTATATTTCTAAACCCCATGGAGATAGGCCTATTGCATTACGTTATAGTTAGACGCGGTACATTTTGTAAAAGAAATAATTTGTTTCTTGTTCTCCATAGGCGGACAGCATGTTGTCAGATTACTCAAGATAAATGTCTTGCTTCATTCACTATTTTCGTAGCTGGAGCTTATCATGTAGTCATTCAAATATGAATCAGAAACATATATCATGGACATAATTGAATTATTATGATTGTTTGATGTTGGACGCCGCACTCACCAATATTCAAGCTTTATGATTTCGGTCTATTAATAATCAAGTATGAACCAGACAAACCAGTGATTGACATCATGAGCATCAATCCAAGTCAGCGAGCCTGACCACCCGTTCCCGTTAGTCGCCTTTTACGACAAGCATAGTAGCCTTTTACGGCAAGCATGGGTTGCTGAAGACCTGTTCTACCCCGAATCTTCTCGGGTCAGTTGAATTATTAAATCAGTGATGTCAGACATACATACCTAGATTAACATATTAACATATTTAGCACTATGACTATCATACTTAAAGGGGCACTGATCTAAAGCAATTCCCCGGGACTGGTTGTTGCCTTTGTTATTGTTTTTTCCCAGTGAGTACCCGGATGTATAGCAGAAATCTAGACTAGTTCGCGACCTCTCCTGCGCCATTCGTAAGCGCATTAGTCACTTTTATGGATAGTAATAAGGGCGTATGGTCACATTGATCAACAAAATTAAATACAGTTTTCGAGATAATTAGGAAATGTAGGTATCTTTGTGGGTAGCATCAGTAATAGTGACAAAGTTTTGATAAGTCACTAGCTTGGTAATTTTGCGATTTTCGTTTACACTATTTTGACTTGCAACACAAAGTAAATATTTCACCTGAGCATTGCTTTTTTTTTAGTGTGTATATTTTTTTACTGTCAAAATGTGTAACATTTTCAAATTTATTAAACGCCTAAATATTCAGTTATTTTACAAAGTGACTGAAAAACATTTCCATCTGTATTATTATGATAACGAATTCCAAACATTTTGATGTTTAATGTCATCACCAAGAGGCTGAAAATGTTACCTTGAAAAGTACATTTCTATGTTGTTTGGCTTCTAATCCTACATAATAATCTGTTGTGATGTTTTTAGGCTCTTTTGATCGTCCTAATCAATTTTAGTCAATCTGGACAGATTTTTCAGTCAAAATGACAGAAATATTTACACATTTAATAAATTGCCTGAGAGAATCCCATTTTACAAATTGACGGTAATATATACACGCTTACAAAGGAAAAGACTTGTGAGAACGTCTATCGCGTATTGAAGAATTTCCCAACCAAGACGTACGTAGAGGAACAAGAACGAATTGGTTCAATGCTACAGCAAATGAAGGAAAACAAAATGCAAATACCATAATTACAACCTACCAAATTTATGTGTATAATTTTAGGCAGCTTCCTTGTTCGAGGAATGTATCCGTGAATATCCACACAAAGGAACAATATCCCACTTGTCTGCAGCTGTACAAAGAAACTTATTCCATGTCACGTGTCTCTGTAACAATCAAATATATATCGTGTTCGTTTCGCAACTGATCACTTAGGTTGTTTCAAGTGTTTCACATAGGTGTCAAGGCTTAAGGATCGGCTGAGAAAGCCCACGTGACAACTATTTTTATAACGTCCACGTTTCCTAAAAAATCCAGTGAGTGATAGATAACAATGAACAATCAATCAACGTATTATCAGTTACCCTTTGGACAAAGTATGTTGTTTTTACATCGGCACTTCACGCCATGATTTGAGTGTATTCCCTTTGTTTTAGTAAACCTAGACATGTAAACACTCACTTTTGACATATCCACTGTGCAAGATAACAGTGATTAATCAATCAACGTATTTTCTGTTAATCCTTTGATGACAAGGAACGATCCGTTGATTTACAAAAAAAAGTAAATCAACTGATCGTTCACCTCTTGCTGGGCTGCCACGTGTATATTACATAACACACATTTCACCTCACTTCAAACCTGGATTTAGATTGAATAATTACCCCAGACACAATAAATGCCAAATGGGAACCTTTGTCAGGTACTCTAAGTGGTGCTACCACTAATTGTACCTGTAATAAATTCATTAACTGAGCATAAAGTGAATGACGACAAATATACAAGTGTAGGTTATACCAGAAAACGTGGATGACAAGGGAGTAGTAATCGAGGCAATCCAAAATCCGAAAATGCTTTCACTGCATGGATACTTTTTTATTATTATTAAACTATAACCATCTGTTGTATTTCCAAATGACGACACCTGATGAGCTCCGCCGTTCCTTTTTTCTGTTTTTGTTTGTTTAGACTGAAGAAATTAATTAACATCCGCCCTTTGTCGAAATCTTTATAGATCACAGTTAACCAATCAGTGTTCAAAAATGCGTGAAACAAATATTGCCTCCAGCCTCCAAGTTTATTTAGCTATCCTTGCAGACGGTAGCCCAGTCTCTACATCACGCTCAGTTGTGTTGCGTATCATCCGGGTACTCACGGGGAAAAAACAATAACAAAGGCAACAACCAGTCCGGGGAATTGCGTTAGATCAGTGCCCCTTTAACTCCCATACTTAACGTATACTTTATGACAGTCGTAGCTCTATAACCACCGTTACTCCCATACTTTAACATAGACTCTCAATAAAATATTTTCCTTGCTCAAATAATCAACAGTAACAACTTCAATGTTGTAGACCTTTATATACAAGTCTCATGGGTATCTACAACTTGGTAGATTGGGATAGATTATCACATCGTTAAGGCAAATATCATATTCAAAACATTGAAAGCGGCACGTAAATTAGGTTTGTTTGCATTTTTGTCTATCAAAGGCTGAAATGAAAATACAGCTGACATGGCTGAGGCAGAGCCTTTATACTACTTATAAATTTCTTTTGTTAAAATGTTAGCTGATCTGTGTATAAAATAATGAAGCATAGTACTTACTACGTTCCTTTTTGTGATATTGTGAACCACAATCGATTATGACTTTTTGATATGTCCAACTCATGGAATGTGAATGTTTCTCGGAAGATGAATTGGAGATTTCTGAGGAAGAAGTACCGGTGAACCCTACATGTCTGACCCTGTGACCGACAATATAACGAAAATAATCAGGACGATCTCCATCTTGGACAGAACCAGTGCCCCTAAGGAAAATGTCTTACATTGTTTAAATTATATAATTCAGGTTAAATCCAGGTTACTTGACACGCCCCCACGAGCCCGACTCTTGAGATACATGGAATCCATACCGGTATTAAAACTATTATATATATACAACACAGGTCTCCCCACAACTAATGAAATGATCGCCTATATACTGTACCCGACTGGTGGTAATACCCAATCAGCTTGCAGGCCTACCCGGGCATGCTAATTAAGCCACACCTCCTCTTTAGTGCTTTTAAGATTTGTTGGGTTTGTTACAAATACAGACCTCAAAACATATACTTTTAATTCAGCGCAATAGCGCTATGTATACGTTTTTACACTTTTTTTTTCTCGACCATCGTATTGTACATCATACTTGCTACGTACTGATTTTACGAAAAATCTATTAATATTTTTCTTGATACTTGCACTTTAAACTGTATGTGAATTTCTATACACTTTAATCAGTTTGTCATGATCTGATGGGTTGACTGACTTCAATTACAGGCATCCCAAATTATCTTGCTACCAAAATGGAGGTTTGTATTTTTAGAGAAGTTATTATCTACCATATCCTTCCTACCTGTATATTACTTTCCTGCGGGAATTTTTGGAAGAATATGTCCCCTGTACCTTTGCTTGGCTGAACTGGTTCTATATAGGAATAAATAAATATCTGGCTGTTTATTGTCCAGGTGGTAAATATCTGGGTGTTTAATGTCCAGGTGGTAAATATGTGGGTGTTCATTGTCCAGGTGGTAAATATGTGGGTGTTTATTTTCCAGGTGGTAAATATGTGGGTGTTTATTGTCCAGGTGGTAAATAATTGGGTGTTTATTGTCCAGGTGGTAAATATGTGGGTGTTCATTGTCCAGGTGGTAAATATGTGGGTGTTTATTTTCCAGGTGGTAAATATGTGGGTGTTTATTTTCCAGGTGGTAAATATCTGGGTGTTTATTGTCCAGGTGGTAAATATGTGGGTGTTTAATGTCCAGGTGGTAAATATGTGGGTGTTCATTGTCCAGGTGGTAAATAATTGGGTGTTTATTTTCCAGGTGGTAAATATGTGGGTGTTTATTTTCCAGGTGGTAAATATGTGGGTGTTTATTGTCCAGGTGGTAAATAATTGGGTGTTTATTGTCCAGGTGGTAAATATGTGGGTGTTCATTGTCCAGGTGGTAAATATGTGGGTGTTTATTTTCCAGGTGGTAAATATCTGGGTGTTTACTGTCCAGGTGGTTATAATATGGGTGTTAATTGTCCAGATGGTAAATATCTGGGTGTTTATTGTCCAGGTGGTAAATATCTGGGTGTTTATTGTCCAGATGGTAAATATCTGGGTGTTTATTGTCCAGGTGGTAATAATATGGGTGTTAATTGTCCAGGTGGTAAATATCTGGGTGTTTATTGTCCAGGTGGTAATAATATGTGTGTTAATTGTCCAGATGGTAAATATCTGGGTGTTTATTGTCCAGGTGGTAATACTATGGGTGTTAATTGTCCAGATGGTAAATATCTGGGTGTTTATTGTCCAGGTGGTAATAATATGGGTGTTAATTGTCCAGGTGGTAAATATCTGGGTGTTTATTGTCCAGGTGGTAATAATATGGGTGTTAATTGTCCAGATGGTAAATATCTGGGTGTTTATTGTCCAGGTGGTAATACTATGGGTGTTAATTGTCCAGGTGTTAAATGTCTACGTATTTGTTGTCCATGTTTCAATTATATATCTCAGTGGCATTTGTCCAAGTGGTAATTGTCCTTGCCCTGATTAGAATGCCTTCAAGAATTGAAATATTTCTATTTTCCACCACACAGCTATGAGCCCAGTGGCCAAGTAGCTTGTGTGTTTGCCAAGGTTTGGGTCCTGTTTTGTTCATGGTGTTGGTGTTGATGTTTAGGGCTGGTGTTTAACTCTGGTACTCAGGTCAGGTGGGTACTGAGTAGGACCCGGGTACCCCCAGGACTACCCTGACCCGTCATGTGATATATTCTTTCATGACAAAAATGATCTAGAACTCCATGGTTACACTACAAGTCACTAATGTTCCCATTTCTTTCTTACTTAATGCACTCATTCCTTCTGACTTTAATGTTTGACTAAAGATAAAACTTCTGTCAACTTCAGTGTATGCATGACCAGATCATTTCATTAATGCATGTACATCTAAATACATTTTTCCAGGACTACGGTCAACTACTCCGAATCGGACATTTTGTACCCATCTCTTGAGACCTACAGCGGGTAGGGTAATAGGGGTGTGGGTAGTAAATTCGGACTCGTCCTAAGTTATCTAACACCATTACACCATGAAATGGCTTAAACTTCCCTTTTCCCTGACGTGTTAGTTGTAGCTGTTATTATTGCATTAGGGAAAATATCACTTTTAAGTGGAAAATAGCTGTTTCCATATATCATGCTTATTATATACCAGTTTGACATAGTTTTAAGTCTCAAATATTTTGGGAGTTTATGAAAAAAAATTCTTTTTCTTTTGTATAGCAACAGAAATAGTATAACCAGGGTATTTTGGAAAAAGGGGTTTTTAATATTTACTTAAGATGTAGTTTACTAAATTAAGCTTTCGGGTAAAATATGGATGCATATGAGAGAAGTGACCGTACAGGGTGAGGGCATAACCCCCAGGGCAAATGATTATTGATTTTGCTTCTCTTAAGTGATAGAGTATAAACTTTTCATTAGTACAATGAATTAGTAGAATTGGTCTTGAAATGGGAATGTCAGAAGGGAGATAGATGGATGGAACAAAATGGTTAGACTTGTGGTGATTTATACAGGATAAAAATACAAGTCAAACTGGACCTTGTCCTCATTGCAAGAACTGGCAGAAAGAAATATGTAGTTCATTTTGTACTGTTAAATGACAAATTAATCATATCAATGTTCACCTGACATCTTTAGATCAATATTTTAGTCCTTGTCAACAGACCGGGTCTCAGGGCAAACAAGGCGCTGTAAGGCTCGTCTCCGTGTGTTCCTCGTGTATATCGTAGTTGCTATGTGCTTATCATTTTCTTCGTGTTATAAATGCATGGCACAATGGCCATTTATTGATTGAAACAGTTGAGCTGACATCACTTGCCTATGACAAGATTGATTGACAATGCAAAACACCTTCACTGAAACAGGTCGAGACTTTAGAAGGATATTGTCATGGGATGTCGTGGATCCTGCTTGGACGTGGGTCTCGTGGAGAATGACATTCGCGTTATGTGACCTCTCGGGGATTGATTATTGTAATATGATGGAAATAAGATGTCACAACAGTTAGATCTCTGTGTTGGGACTGGACTTATATTGATGTCGGTGGATGAAATTGATGTGAATAATTGTTCATTATATGTGATACAGAATAACTTAATGACATCTTAAGTATTTCTACACACTTGACCCAGAGCTACAGATAAGCAGCGTATTTGCGTAAAATATTTAGAATCCAATTACTTTCCATCAACTTGCGTACAGAAACGCATGCATAAATGAAAAACTCAAATTATAAAAACAGCACGCGTAAATACCCAATGAAGCTTTTTCAGCATGCGTACAAAGGAGCTTATTTTCAAAACACAATTACAAGCTTTTTTACTTTCCGAGTAAAGCCTGTATATTTAGAACAGTTGTATACATCTAAAACATTATTTCATTTTTGAAAAATCTTAAAATGTTCACTAATTTTGGGAAATACCCAATAGAATGATAAATAGATGAGTAAAAAAATATTGGTTACCCAATGAAAAATGTAATAACCCAATTACAATAGAAACCCAAGAGTAAAAACTCAATTGCTCAAAAAGTTATCTGGAGCTCTGTAGAACTGTGTGAAAGATTAGAAGTTGGAGACAAATATACCCCTTGTGATATATTTGCTGGCTTTGTTCTCACTGAATTATATTTAATATCGCAAAATTAAATGCATGAATATGTGTCAATGAAGCAGCAGATGATATACTTGTATGAATTGAAAAGAAAATGAGTGGTCATGACTATATATTTAACAGCTACAGCTTCTAAAATTTTGTGTAGGACAGAAATCTTTGTTCAGATTTCACTTTCATTAAAATTCAGTATACATACACAGTAAGTAATTAAGGCATCAATAAGCTCATAGTTTTTAAAACTATTTCATGATATATATATATACCATATTCGACGTAATAAGTGCCCAGGGCGCTCTCAAAATTAGAAATAGGGGGCTCTTATTAGAATATTATTTTGGTGGGAAAAAACAGAGTTGAAAGATAAATATCGTTATTTATGCTGAAATATTTATGTTCGACAGATATATTTTTCCATAATTTAATTGCCCATAATTAAGGGTGCATATAACACATGAGTGCGTATTATACGTGAATAAATAAGTCTTGTGTACATTGATCAATCGGAAGGGGTGCTAATTGGGATTGTTCACTAGCCAATATCTTAGCAAATGTCACCGTGGGCGCTTATTAGAGCGGAGCGCTTATTACGTTGAATACGGTAGCCTACAATATATGTTAGCTGAATTCTAGGTATTTTGTTTGTTTGTTGTTCATCGCCGCATTCAGGTGATAATGAAATGTCAGGACACGTGAAGTGCAGGGAGGTTAACGGCAGAGATAAATGATACATGTACTTCACAGCATGCTCAAGCTGACATTTTTTTCCGTTTCATTATCCTTGTGATAAGAGATAGATGTGTTTCTAGCATGGTTGCCATTTTATGTCTAATCAATATTGATTAGACATGTGTTGGAGGGCGGACTGAGCACTAAGCATCAATGTTTCATTGGTGATTATAAATATTCATGCAGCTGAAATGGTCCTTTACCAATTACAAAATACAATAATCAAACTATATTCACAACACATATTAATCACTGTCAACAGAGTATCCTTGCTCCATGGCTGTGCTGAAAGAAAAGTCCATGGATGTGTAGTAATTCTATCCTCCTAATACGCAAGTCTAGACATGTGGACAGTCTAAGGACTCCAGTCTCTTATAGGGACAACTTGTTCTTATTATTTACATAATTTAGAACTTATTGTTAAAACAAATGATTATTGCCTTAGAGACTTGTGCAAGTCTATCAACTGAGTTGAGTAGAGGGTTTACCTGACAATGAAGCAAGGGAGACAATAATGAACTTGGTGATACAGTTTGACTTTGTTGACACTGGCAATATGTTCAGTACTTCTATGACAACAGTGGATCTTGTTTTTATGCCATAATTCAGCTGTGTCACAACGACCTGTCAGTAATTGAGTGTACTTTTACAGGTTAAATGATGATAAACTTAGAAACATCATTATAACGGAGTCACATTCGTATATTTCTGCAGTCAGACTTCCCTCATTGGACTTACCGGTAGAATAAATCTGAACTTGCTGTTTTCGTTTAAATATTTCTCCAGTAAAGTTGTCGATAGGACTCTTTGTGAGTGAAATACTTCAAACCACAGGTAGGTCGATTGGTAGTTACTCAATATTTCAATAGCTAGTCTGCGAAACATTCTAATTTGTTTTAACAGGCAAAATGCATTTTCCTAGCATTTCAGAAAGTTCTTTAATGGGTTCAGGTGGTCAGACTCGCTGATGTGGTTGATGCCTGTCATATCCTAATTGCGTAGATCGATGCTGATGATATCAATCAGCAGCCATGATGTTTGTTTTTGATTAACACTGTTCTCAGGATTATTCCAGCTATATGAAGGTGGTCTACAAATAATCAAGTCTGGACCAGAAAATCCAGTGATTGGCATCATGAGCATCAATCCACACAATTGGGATACGATGACCACCTGATCCTATTAGTCGCCTCTTACGACAAGCATGGGTTGCTTAAGACCTATTCTATCGCAGGGTTGATTAGTTGGCTGTGGTTTTGTTTGTTTATTTGTTGTTTAACGCCACACTCAGCAATATTACAGCTATATGATGGCGGTCTGTAAATAATCAAGTCTGGACCAGACGATCCAGTGATTGGCATCATGAGCTTCGATCCACGCAATTGGGATACGAAGACATGCATCAACCATGTCAGTGAGCCTGACAACCTGATCCTGTTAGTCTCCTCTTAGTCTCTTACGGAAAGCATGGGTTGCTCAAGACCTATTCTACCCCGGATCTTCACGGGTTGGTCTGTGGTGATTGGTTATTGATTATTATTTATAATATCCATTTGCTACCTGACCTCTTCCCTTGTTTACAGATTCTAGATAATGGGTAATGGTGCTTCGGCCAAAAATAAAAACACAGCAAATACAAATTCTCAACCAGCTCGTAACCAAGCAACAACACCAAGAAGGGGAGGCAACAACTTCCAGGAAGTCCAGGTCCGGCCGGCGGACGACCACGTGACCCAGGACTACCGGGGCACGCCGCCACCGTTGACCAATCAACAGTCGCCAACTCACAACAACATGGCGCAGAGAGAACAAGGGGCGAACCTCGCCAATGTAAGTATATGGAGACACTATAAGATCACCAGTGTAGGAGACTCTCTAAGGCTGGCCACTGTAGGAGACTCTCTAAGGCTGGCCACTGTAGGAGACTCTCTAAGGCTGGCCACTGTAGGAGACTCTCTAAGGCTGGCCACTGTAGGAGACTCTCTAAGGCTGGCCACTGTAGGAGACTCTCTAAGGCTGGCCACTGTAGGAGACTCTCTAAGGCTGGCCACTGTAGGAGACTCTCTAAGGCTGGCCACTGTAGGAGACTCTCTAAGGCTGGCCACTGTAGGAGACACTGTAGGAGACTCTCTAAGGCTGGCCACTGTAGGAGACTCTCTAAGGCTGGCCACTGTAGGAGACTCTCTAAGGCTGGCCACTGTAGGAGACTCTCTAAGGCTGGCCTGTAGGCCTGACCTTTAAAGTGCTTTCATAGTCTTAGAATATGCATTTGATTGTAAAATATAAGATATATCCAGGGATTGGAATTTAATAATCCCAATTTCTGTTATTGTGATGGTGATTAATGCCATGGCTTAACAGAGGTGACTTGTAGATCTCTGACACACAGAGAGGTCTGATGAGTTCCACATTATTGCCTTGCATACGATGTTAAAATGCATCTGAATAATAAGAAAATAAGAACTTAATAAATAGCCAGTTTTATGGGGAAAAAATCCCCTTTGCCTGCCAAGGTCCTATATACTGGAACTCTATATAAATCCCTGTATGCCATTTGAAGATTTGAGAAATTTCCCCGGCAGTTTTAGAGGAACTGAAATCTATTTTGCCACATAGATCGTCCGTGTATTGTTTTGTCATGAAGACATTGAACAAGGAACCAAGATACATCCCAGGAGACAGTCTCCCAACCAAAACAAAGACGAGTCTTGAAAAATGATATCAGGATCCTTGTTGAAAAGAGTAATAACATTATGAAGTCATTATACCATATTCACGCTAGTAAGTGCCCTTCTCCAATAAGGAACCCCTGGGCAGCTTCTAGAACAATGAGTAAGTAATCTTTATAAGCGCCCCCTACTGACACCCGAGATATTAACATAACAGTCTGCATTTTCTCGTATAGGATGGTCCTGATGGGTGGGTCCCATAAGCAGTAAGCAGTAAAATTTAGGGTACTTTTTCATTAAGCAGTAATTTTTCTTCTTTTTCAATAAAATTGTCGCGAAAAATTTCTAAATCGTCCATGGAGGGACATGGGACTTATAATTCTGCCTTCGTTACATCCTGACAATTCATATTTTTAATACCTGGTAAAATCTCAAATCGCTAAACTTTCTAGACTGGTCCCCTGCGACAGTTTTTGACCATTTTAATCATATGACGATAAGCAGTAAATTATTTATTTACGTTAAGCAGTTATTTTTTGGTATTTTACGATAAGCATTTACGATAAAAAAAAAGATGACTTTTACATTTATGATAGTGTTTGAAGTGTGTTTTGCGTTAAGCATTAAAACCAATCAGGACCCTTGTATAGTACAGATTTGTTTAAAAAACATGAAAACACAGCATTGTTCATGTTGTAGGTGTGTATAAATCAGTAGTAACTATTATCAAAACTGTTTATGTTTCATCAATTCAATTCATTTATGGTTTTATTTAGCTCCCAAGGTATTTAATCTGCCAAATATGGTAGTATGAAGTGGTGAAATTGTTTTAAATGGTATGTTCAGATTTTGAGACGGCCCCCAAGATATGATCTGAGTCGTACACAACAAATGACACAGGGAACCAGGGTACTTTCTTGTTGTCTCAACGCCATGTGGTATTATTGTCAGCACAAACAAACTGGCTGTGAGGTTGTATCCCTGAAGCCTTGTTGATCACCTGGTCTATATTGCAAGAGTTTATCAGGGGATTTACCAGTCCATGTCTGTCAGGTCATATTCTCACATCAAACGGCTGTTATACCTTTTGTTGATCATTATCTGACATGTATGGTATTATTGTTGATATCACATGTTAGCTATTTTTAGTTTATGGGTTTAAGAAAATAAGAAAACAATGGGTGTTTTGTCAGTCGGTTAAAAAAGTAGATTGTAAATTGTTATGAGAAATTCCATGTTTGCAATATTATGGTTGTAAAGTATGTGAATCCTGGGTTGTCTATGACACAATGATTTAATTTGAAGTGTTGCCTCCCTTGGTGCTGCCTGGACCTGCTGCTAATGGGTTTCAGTCCCGGATTTATTCCAGTCCGAGCATTGGTTTGTCGGCACCATGTAGATTTAATGGTGCATGCTACAACATGTATCTATTTCTGCTCTTCCACTTTAAGCTGACAATATTGTTGATTCAAAGTGGCGATAACATCAATTCACTCAGTCACCTACCCACCCCTTGCTCTCCCAAGGCCAAGAGGACAAAAATGAACACAAATTTAGTTTTTTCTTGATGTAATTAGCATGATACAGAATATTCATATCACCTCTGCTAGAGTTGTATTTTCATGCCATGTGAATTTGCATTCGTCAACACTCGCCCCTTTCCGTAACCTGCAAGAAGACTCGTCCCCCTATCGATGGATGTTATGTGCGAATACACGACAAACCAATCAGAATGCGCGTATGATTTCAAGTTCTTCGTCAAAGAATCCCTCAGAAATATTTTTTTTATTTTACATATGTCTTGCTTCTAAAATTATACCAAAGACACAGTTTAATGTATTCAATCATACTGTATAATTCTGCACGTCCCGATGTGCTTTTAATTGCATCTGAGATATTAATAATATATGGGGAAAATGTGTGAACCATTAAGCAACGAGTAGACAATTGTTTTAGGTATGCCCGTTTGCGCTAAGACGGAACCCGGTCGCAAAAATGGCCACGAGAGGGGCACGAGTCGCTATTCGGCTTGTCCCGGAATAACACGAGTTGGTCACGAATGGTGAATTTGAGAATATACAGAGGGGCAAAAGAAACTATACGTCAGTTAATTTTATCATATGTTTGATTTTCAATTGAAAATATCGTAAGTTAGCGATGTTATATACAAGAAGTTTTAACTTTACTGGCTTTTTGTCAGCAGTCAAAGGATACTGCTACATTGTTTTATTTTTTTAAATATTATTTGATTTAAAACATTTAATTTTTTAAAAACCAATAACATATACACAACTGCTGATGGGTATCGTAGACATCTTATCTTTGAAAATCAATATATTTGCTTATCGGCACAAATTTACAACCAAGGTCGGGGTCATGTGGTTGCTAATTCATTTCTTACCCCAGTCTTCATTGAACCAAGTTATATTTACACAATATTACCCAGCCACAGATTACTTTTTACAAACTGATTCAGTTTAGTGATGATTAATGAGACATAATCAAACTTAACAACTGTTACATAAGAAACAAACTTGGTATACTTTCTTTTGCCTCTCAGTTTAGTTAGGATGGTTATATGTATATTTGTAAGGTATGTTGTATTTCTCATTTTGTGCGATCCTTGTCATGCAGCAAGTGGGAAAACGGAGAACGGAGGTGAGACTTGATAACATATATATGTTAATAACCATTGTACTGTTTGATAACAAGATATGTTCTGTTGTCGGCTATCTGCAGATAAATCAGTTGGTAGATGATGCCATTAAATTTCATCAAGAAATGAATTGGTAAACAAACCCTTTTGTTTTATAAGACTTGTGACGTGTTAAATGTCATTGTGGCTGATGTATGTTAAGCTCTAACTGTGCATGTCAAAGTGTATATTAGGACATTTAGGAAAGCCTGCCAGGAAATCTAGATGTTTTACATAACTTATAACTTCCTGTGATTGGTGATAAAGATATCTGCTTTAAAGGTGTAAGATCAGATTAGCAATTTGTTTTACTTGTCATCTTTTGTCATTTTTTAAACAAATTCTTAAAAAAGACAGCTCTTTCTTCAGACTGTGGTAAGATGTCAGGTTTTGAACAAAAGGGGTACCCCAGCTGAGTTATCTCATATGAATAGATCAAATCAGAACATGTGTCTCAGCACAACATAAAGGTTTGCAGTGCAAAGACAGTCAGGAACCAGTCTGTCATACATGTAAAAGAAAGGGCTTGTTCAATGTGTGACAGTTTCAACACCCTCCAGATAGAGTAGGGAAGATTCAGGTTAAGATAGGTCTTCAGCAACCCATGTTTGTCGTTAAAGGTGACTCACGGGATCGGGTGGACAGGCTCGCTTACTTGGTTGATTCATGTCATCGTATCCCAATTGCATAGATCGATGCTCATGATGTCAATCACTGGATTGTCTGGTCCAGACTTGCTTACTTACAGATCACTGCCATATAGCTGGAATATTGCTGAGATGTTAAACAACACACCAACAAAACAAAGTGTAGGCATGATGTATACCGTATTTCCTCAAATAAATGATGGAATTTATTGTCATGTCTTGAATTGCTTGAAGCTGAGTCTAAACCAAGTTTCCAAAAGAGTCTCTAAAATATGCAGGATCTATATTTTTATGACAGGTTGAGGAGAATATTAAGTGAATTATATTTTGAAACCATAATAGAAATAGTTCCTGTGATATCAGTACTGCTGACTGTGAACAAAACATGAGATCCTTGTAATATGAGTGTGGTAAGCCTGAGTGAAAGTATTGGAATTAATAGTCTTATGGCTAAGATGGCCGAGACAGTTCTAGGTCTCCAATAATCCTCTGGTCATTTAAATATGTGATAAATGCACCTGGTCGTTTTGATATGTGATACATACACAGGCATCTATTAGAGGAAATATAGGAGCTGTGTAGAGCACCTGTCTGCTAATTGATGTTGCAAATTACTGAGGGTGATGTGTATTTTTTTATAAAAGATTTACTTTTAGTCATAAGCTTTTCTTACCATTATACTGTGAACACACAAACTATTAACAGGAAATAACACTTGATTCCACCAATCTTATCTTACACCTTTAAGGTATTGTACAGTGTTAAAGTGTTGTCATGTAGAAGTATAACGTCCCATACACACCGAATCTTACTAAGTGATGTATACATGTACGACATCATGATCACCATGCAACCACCATGTAACTATGATGTACCATAAACAGGCTCACAAGAATTCTCAAAAAGCCTTGGAGATAAATGAGGTAAGGTGACCTCGCAAAACCACAATTTGTCCTTCAGAACCCTGTGCCAGACCTGTTTAATTCACATTTCGTTCACCTGGATCCCAGGTCCGGCTGACATTATTGTACAGCGCTTGGTCCACTGTCATAAAACTTGGCTATAGTTTCAACGTAAGGAGCACCTGCCTTAATATGGCTGGAACAGGGAAAAAGTGTAAGCCAGACAGTTGAAGATGAAATAAGTATCACTCAGTGTAGGAGTTACGACTGTCGTAAGTCTATGCTAAAGTATAGGAGTTACGACTGTCGTAAGTCTATGCTAAAGTATGGGAGTTACGACTGTCGTAAGTCTATGCTAACGTATGGGAGTTCAGACTGTCGTAAGTCTATGCTAAAGTATAGTAGTTACAACTGTCATAAGTCTATGTTAAAGTATAGGAGTTACGACTGTCGTAAGTCTATGCTAAAGTATAGGATTTCCGAATGTCATAAGTTTATGTTAAAGTATAGGAGTTACGACTGTCGGATGACTGTCGTAAGTCTATGTTAAAGTACAGGAGTGAAATGGGGACCAGGTCAAGAAGGAACTGCACGAATGAGACTAATTGTGTCACTGAGGACTTTCTTCTGCTTAAAAGAAAGTCATTGAGGGTTTCGGTTTATTATTAAGATAATCAAGAAGTTATGTCAATAACTCAGAATACAAATGTTCAAATGCCATAAAAGACAGGTGAGCTACAGACCCCATGGCTGTTTTTGTTTCTACTTTTTTGCCACCCCCCCCATATATCCAGTGTGTGCCAGCTTGTTATCTCTCATCCACAAATTTGCCTATGCAACTCTAGGATTGTTTGTTTTGTATTATTAAACATCTCCTTGTCTTGGTGTTATATTTTTCTTCTTCTTAAGTCCCCATACTTGTTTTGGAGAATTCTCCTATTCTATTTCCATTTTAATAGGCACAATGTACACTTCTGTTTTAGATCATGTTGAATGCATTAAGTCCGGTATCTGGTTTCTGAAATATTCATGTCGTAGAAGTTTTTAAACTTGTAAAAACTTTTAAACTTTTAAATTCCTTGGTTCAACTATGTGTGGTATTGTCACACCTGGTACACCTGTGTGTACGGTTGTCACACTAGGTACACCTGTGTCTGGTATTGTCTCACCAGGTACACCTGTGTGTAGGGTTGTCACACCTGGTACACCTGTGTGTAGGGTTGTCACACCTGGTACACCTGTGTGTAGGGTTGTCACACCTGGTACACCTGTGTGTAGGGTTGTCGCACCTGGTACACCTGTGTGTAGGGTTGTCGCACCAGGTACACCTGTGTGTAGGGTTGTCGCACCAGGTACACCTGTGTGTAGGGTTGTCGCACCAGGTACACCTGTGTGTAGGGTTGTCGCACCAGGTACACCTGTGTGTAGGGTTGTCGCACCAGGTACACCTGTGTGTAGGGTTGTCGCACCTGGTACACCTGTGTGTAGGGTTGTCGCACCAGGTACACCTGTGTGTAGGGTCGTCGCACCAGGTACACCTGTGTGTAGGGTCGTCGCACCTGGTACACCTGTGTGTAGGGTTGTCACACCTGGTACACATTGCACGTTGATTATCACAATTATTTATGCTTGTTGTAAGAGACGACTAACGGGATTGCGTGTTCAGGCTCGCTGACTTGGTTGATGCTTGTCATCCCAATTGTGTAGATCGAAGCTCGTGATGATAATCTCTGGATTGTCTGATCCAGACTCGATTATTTACAGACCGCCGTCATGTAGCTGGAATATTGCTCAGTGCAGCGTTATACAACAAACAAAACAAAAAGAAAATATAAAAAAAATGATTATCCTATATGGTACATGAGGGTCTCTCATTTCACAGGGTACACAATGTATCTATGTATCCATTGATATGCTACAATATAAGACAATATCTGTATTCAAGGTAATATTTATTTGTTTCCTCAAATTACTTCCTGAAATAATATTTTTTAACAAACAAACCATATTCCTTCAATTCCAATTTTTCTGTTTTTAGTTTAGCAAGCAGTTTTTGCCTGTTTTCACCTTTGAATATTGATGATGTTACGTGTAATCATGGTTTGATTTCCAATATCCTGATAGTACTCATTGTTTGCTTTTGGCACCTTTATTAGTTTGTTTGTGTCTTGCTGCTATGGCGACTAAGGGATACTCTGAGACACTCATGCCAGCTCTGTCTCATTGCATTCTATGTGTCGTCTCCACTGACTGAACCAACATGGAATATTTCAACCGGGGACCGTATCAAAACCATCACAGAAGTTACTTACTTTGAGGCATCACAATCCTTGTCTGGACTGTACTCAGTTGTTTGTGAATGCCAGTAATCTAAGGAGCAACAACAAATTGATCACATCTTAATATAACTGATGCTATTTTTAAGAGATATTTATCCTGCCTTGTTTTTGTCCAAATTTGTTTTATCCTACCTGGATGTGACGGACATGTTGTGTCTGATTTCATTACCAGTCTTGTCATGTCTGCAATTGTAACATTCACTGGGATATTCCAGACCTCGATATATCCAACTTGTTTATACCATACTTATATCTTTGTAATATCCGACTGTACCTGACTATGTCCGACTTCATTATTTGTTATACCGACTGCATGAGAACCAAGGATGTTATACCTGACTGCATGACAACCAACGTTGTTATACCTGACTGCATGACAACCAACGTTGTTATACCTGACTGCATGACAACCAACGTTGTTATACCTGACTGCATGACAACCAACGTTGTTATACCTGACTGCATGACAACCAACGTTGTTATACCTGACTACCTGACAACCGACTTTGTTATATCTGACTGCATGACAACCAACGTTGTTATACCTGACTACCTGACAACCGACTTTGTTATATCTGGCTGCATGACAACCAACGTTGTTATACCTGACTACCTAACAACCGACTTTGTTATATCTGACTGCATGACAACCAACGTTGTTATATCTGACTACCTGACAACCGACTTTGTTATATCTGATTTTATGACAACCAATGTTGTTATACCTGACTACCTGACAACCAACTTTGTTATATCTGACTGCATGACAGCCAACGTTGTTATACCTGACTACCTGACAACCAACGTTGTTATACCTGACTGCATGACAACCAACGTTGTTATACCTGACTACCTGACAACCAACTTTGTTATACCTGACTACCTGACAACCAACGTTGTTATACCTGACTACCTGACAACCAACGTTGTTTATAATACCTGACTACCTGACAACCAACTTTGTTATATCTGACTGCATGACAGCCAACGTTGTTATATCTGACTACCTGACAACCAACGTTGTTATATCTGACTGCATGACAGCCGACTTTGTTATACCTGACTACCTGACAACCAACTTTGTTATACCTGACTACCTGACAACCAACTTTGTTATACCTGATTACCTGACCACCAACGTTGTTATATCTGACTGCATGACAGCCGACTTTGTTACAACCTGACTCCAGTAGTATGATGTCTCATACAGTAAGTAACCATGGTAACATGCACATGACATGGAGCTAGGGCCTCACACTTATGTCTGTATCTGTTTCTGTGAGTTTTGATACGGTCACTGGCTGATCTATAATAATAGATACATGTTTTTAGCTCACATATATATGCTGATGAGTGAGTGAGTATGGTTTTACTCCACTTTTAGCAATATTCCAGCAATATCACTGCCAGAAATGGGCTTCACACATTGTACCCATGTCGGGAATCGAACCCGGATCTTCGGTGTGACGAGCGAACACTTTAACCACTAGGCTACCCAACCGCCTCCATATGCTGATGAAATAAGTAAGGGAACACCTAGCTATTCAGAGGAAATGCCACCTGCTGTGTTCTACCTGAATGTGGTGGTGTGGTAGCCTAGTAGCAAAGGTGTTAGCTCATCACACCAAAGCTCCAGGTTCTATTCCCCATGGGTACAATATGTGAAGTCTTTTCAGGTGTTGCAATATTGCTTAAATGTTGCTAAAAGTGACATAAAATCACTCACTCACACAACATATGCTTCATATGAACTGATGATGTAAGGGGAAAGTACTTGTTAGCTCACTTCATCGACCTGGTGGATGTTTCCGTGTATGTCTGTCCACCAGTGAATACATACTTTTTCGGAAGGAGCAAGAAGTAGCTCTGAAGCGTCGTGATAAAGAGCAAAAGGAGTTGGTATCCATAAAAAAGTGTCATGTAAACATGTTCTTCCAACTTCTAAATGCCTATTAAAGACTTTGTCCATCAGTGTGTTTTATAATTGTAATGTCATCCAAAGGAAATCCACAAACATTGTTGTCAGCATCTCTAGGTACAGTAATTAGTGATGGATAACATTAATTCATTGATTCAAATAAGCATAATCTTTTTCAATCACTCTTCAATATTACCTGTGAAGACCCAGGTTAGAATGGGTCTCCAGCAATCCATGCTTGCCGTAAAAGGCAGCTTTGCTTGTTGCAAGAGGAGACTAACGAGATCGGGTGGTCAGGCTCGCTGACTTGGTTGATGCATGTCATCGTATCCCAATTGTGTGGATCGATGCTCATGATGTCAATCACTGGATTGTCTGGTCCAGACTCGATTATTTACAAACCGCTGTCATATAGCTGCGGTGTTAAACAACAAACAAACACACAAACACTCTTCAAAATAGAATATTTTATCATGATGAGTTGTGAATAGCACCTGAAAAAATGACCCCTTATTGTCCATAGGAAAGATGCTTAGGAAAAGCAGAATTGTGACCTTCATATGTGTCAGTGTCACCTTGAAAGGTAACTGTTGCTTCCTGTGAGAGTCAGTATGCATGCATGCAGTGTTAATCATGTATATTTCTTGTTTTCATGCAACGTTTTAGAAAAATCCAGAAATTGGAAAGCAGGTAAGAAACTATTCATTATAATTAATAACTGGTTGCATCATAGATCAGGGATCATTATATCGACATGAGTTTCCTGTGAACTTCAGGAGCAGATAGTATTCCCAGGAACTATTGTAGCTGAAGTTGAATATGGGTTGGTTATTTTTGTTTAACACCAAACAACACACGCAACACCAAACAACACACGCAACACCAAACAACACATGCAACACCAAACAACACACGCAACAACACACAGCACTTGCCCAACACCAAACAACACACGCAACAACACACAGCACTTGCCCAACACATGCACATTAATTGCTCCCGTCAATGAGAATGTGTTGAAGGTTTGACAATGCTCATGCGTTCACTAAAGTGGTGAATGTCTATGACCAAGATCACTTTGGGCTTTCCTCCCACATCAAGCTGACACAGCTGGATGCCTGTTTAAAGCGGTGTTAAAACCAACTCACTCCCTCACCAATACCATTACTGAGATGGCCTTTTTCTGCCCCCAAAACTTCCGTTTCTTTCCATTTTATACAGTTGGAATAATCTATCAAAACTTTCATAGTATGTCAAAGGTCAAGGTCACCTGTGAGGTAATTGTCTGAAGCGGCTGCAGCAGTCTTTCTTTTGACCATGGCACAAAGATTGTTGACATTATTGGCCATATTGTGGGGCCATGTGGTATTCTTTTGGCACATCTCATGAAAAGGTCAAAGGTTAAAGGTCAAGGTCCAACGATAGGAACAAAATCTTGAAGCTGGTTTTTGGTTACACTTTATCAGAAGGTAATCATGCATTTATCATTAAACTTGGAATATACCTACTCCATGTCTTTTGAAAAGGTTTTGGTCAAGATAAGTCTTAGGTCAATGTCAGCGTTGGTTATATGGTTATATCATTATTATGAAACATGGTTGTGGTTACTGTTACACTTTTACTAAAGAAGCTGCCTTGTTTTAATGTCAAGGTCTGGAAGTAATGTCAAGGTCTGTGCATGGTATGATAATATTGTTGGATCTTTAAGGAAATGGCAGTAAAATGGCTGCTTCTGTTTTTGCAAATAGTTGCAAATGCCTCTAGGTTAAATAATATTTATGTCTGTAAATGGGCAGCTTCCATCTAGAAGGACATATTTCAGGTTTTTTCAAGTTTTGGCATCTGTTGTAGTGATTCTTATTCCACAAATCAGTATATGTGTATTGTTTTGACATCTGAATCTGGTGTATTTTGTGCCATGGTAACAGCAATCAATACACAATTCTATGCTGGTGGGCAGGTATGTGAATAATATATGGTCCGGTACAGATGCACTAAAATGTGTGAGATCCACCATGTTATTTCAGCATAATATGTACGTTGATCTACTGATATGCTTAGGCAAAGTGGTGTTAGACACTGCATTTTTCTGTGCAGAGTTACCTCCCTAAGTCATTCCAAGATCTGAATCACAGATTGACCCAAATCATTATCCACTGTTGGTCAGAACCTTACCTATTTTCTGGATTACACACTTTCGTATTTAAAAAAACCCCGGAACATGTTCAATTGCATAGATCGATGCTCATGATATCGATCACTGGATTATCTGATCCAAGCCGCTGTCATATAGCTGGCATACTGCTGAGTGCAATGTTAAACAAAAAACAAAAAAACAAATGTCTAAGATCTGCATTACCTTGTACTCCCCTCCTACATCAAGCTGACACGCTGTGAAGTCACTAAAATACTGTTCAAAGCGGCATTGAACTCAAGCATTCTCTCACTGACACACTCACAAGATCCCAGGTGACTGTTTCAACGTGCAGTCCTCCCAGCCCGTGTGTATCTGTAGAACATAGTACGTCAAACTACACGATGACAATAACACTTGTATTCCCTCACTCACACACTCACAAGATCCCAGGTGACTGGTTCAACGTGCAGTCCTCCCAGCCCGGCCCGTGTGTATCTGTAGAACATAGTGCGTCAAACTACACGATGACAATAACACTTGTATTCCCTCACTCACACACTCACAAGATCCCAGGTGACTGTTTCAACGTGCAGTCCTCCCAGCCCAGCCCGTGTGTATCTGTAGAACATAGTGCGTCAAACTACACGATGACAATAACACTTGTATTCCCTCACTGACACACTCACAAGATCCCAGGTGACTGTTTCAACGTGCAGTCCTCCCAGCCCAGCCCGTGTGTATCTGTGGAACATAGTGCGTCAAACTACACGATGACAATAACACTTGTATTCCCTCACTCACACACTCACAAGATCCCAGGTGACTGGTTCAACGTGCAGTCCTCCCAGCCCGTGTGTATCTGTAGAACATAGTGCGTCAAACTACACGATGACAATAACACTTGTATTCCCTCACTCACACACTCACAAGATCCCAGGTGACTGGTTCAACGTGCAGTCCTCCCAGCCCGTGTGTATCTGTAGAACATAGTGCGTCAAACTACACGATGACAATAACACTTGTATTCCCTCACTGACACACTCACAAGATCCCAGGTGACTGTTTCAACGTGCAGTCCTCCCAGCCCGGCCCGTGTGTATCTGTAGAACATAGTGCGTCAAACTACACGATGACAATAACACTTGTATTCCCTCACTGACACACTCACAAGATCCCAGGTGACTGTTTCAACGTGCAGTCTTCCCAGCCCGTGTGTATCTGTAGAACATAGTGCGTCAAACTACACGATGACAATAACACTTGTATTCCCTCACTCACACACTCACAAGATCCCAGGTGACTGTTTCAACGTGCAGTCCTCCCAGCCCAGCCCGTGTGTATCTGTAGAACATAGTATGTCAAACTACACGATGACAATAACACTTGTATTCCCTCACTGACACACTCACAAGATCCCAGGTGACTGTTTCAACGTGCAGTCCTCCCAGCCCGTGTGTATCTGTAGAACATAGTGCGTCAAACTACACGATGACAATAACACTTGTATTCCCTCACTCACACACTCACAAGATCCCAGGTGACTGGTTCAACGTGCAGTCCTCCCAGCCCAGCCCGTGTGTATCTGTAGAACATAGTGCGTCAAACTACACGATGACAATAACACTTGTATTCCCTCACTCACACACTCACAAGATCCCAGGTGACTGTTTCAACGTGCAGTCCTCCCAGCCCAGCCCGTGTGTATCTGTAGAACATAGTATGTCAAACTACACGATGACAATAACACTTGTATTCCCTCACTGACACACTCACAAGATCCCAGGTGACTGTTTCAACGTGCAGTCCTCCCAGCCCGTGTGTATCTGTAGAACATAGTGCGTCAAACTACACGATGACAATAACACTTGTATTCCCTCACTCACACACTCACAAGATCCCAGGTGACTGGTTCAACGTGCAGTCCTCCCAGCCCAGCCCGTGTGTATCTGTAGAACATAGTGCGTCAAACTACACGATGACAATAACACTTGTATTCCCTCACTCACACACTCACAAGATCCCAGGTGACTGTTTCAACGTGCAGTCCTCCCAGCCCGGCCCGTGTGTATCTGTAGAACATAGTGCGTCAAACTACACGATGACAATAACACTTTTGGTTTTTACAACAGTTGAAGCTTAAATTGTCCGACTTGAAGGTAAGAGTTATCTGTGCGTCTGATGCCTCTGTCATATCTTTCAATGTGAAGTCTGTGCATGTCTCCACAAACAACTGTTCACTGAGGAATCTTTAGCACATGCACTGTATTCTGATGAAATATTCCACTGGATAATTTACCTTGAATGAGCTGTCCTCTGAGGAAGTAAGAATGAAATATTTGGACAAGAAATATAATGAAATCCCTCGAACCCAGATGTGTCAAATCCCTGGGTGTGTCAATCTCATGATCTGGTCTCCGCAAACTCTTACAATATTTGTAACTGTTTCATCCCAATGCACTGAACTGAATGAACTGACATCTTGGGCTCAATTTTTGGTCTTAAGAGTTAAAAATAATAATTTAACACTTACCCTAAACTCTGATGTTTGAAAAACACATCTTAGCACAAGTGAAAATGTGTGTCAACTTAATGGCCTGAATACGATATGTTGTAACTGTTTAAATCGTCAGTGACAGGACGCTAATGATTGGCCTGAACAAAATGAATACATATGCATAAATGTGGATATGATTCTGTTCTGATTTCTTGTCATATAAATGTTATCAAATAACAAGCATGATGTGGTATGTTTGATTTCTGTTGTCTGGTGGGTAGGTCAGAAATTAATTAGTTTGAGTCAGATGTGTTGAACTCTGGGTAAGTCAAACTATTTCTCATGACCCCAGGAGTTCAAGACAATGTGGTTCGAATGTAATACTGTCTTTCCCCCCAAGACACTTGGTATGTTGTGTTGAGTTCTGTTACTGTATACATATGTGATTCATTGCAAACTCAAGTTGGTGATGTAGTCATTGTGCATCACAAACATTGATAAAGGATTGCCTGACAGACCTGTGAAGATCTGAGTTGGAATAGGTCTTCAGCAGCCCATGCTTGCCGTAAAAGACGACTGTGCTTGTCGTAAGATGCGACTAACGGGATCGTGTGGTCAGGCTCGCTGACTTGGTTGATACATGTCATCAATCCCAACTACATGGATCGATGCTAATGATGTCAATCACTAGATTGTCTGGTCCAGACTCGATTATTTACAGACTGCCGTCATATAGCTGGAATATTGCTGAGAGTGGCATTAACGAACAAAACAAATTTTTAAAAAACAAACAATTCAGGCAAGCGGACGAAAATTACATTGTTGCAAGCTGTTTTTCTTAAACAGACAATTCAGGCTAAAAAGATATAGGATTTTGAGCTGCAGCTGAAAAAATACCTATCCTCCATACAAAATCCCAGTCCCGCCCCCCTCCCCCCAAAACTATCAAATGATTGGTAACTAAGAATGTCGAGATTTGAGAGTTGTACAGCACCCATAGCCTTGTCAGATGTGGTGGGCTTTGTCTGTGATATCATCTGCTTTCTGTTTGTAATTACATTGCTATTGTATCGCTATTGCACATTGGGGAGCACAGAAGGCACAGGTGATGTACAAGTCATGTCCCTTAGTTGAGGCAGGATCTGTTTGTCATGCTTTCAAAATCTCCAACTTGATTAGGATCCTTGGTGTGTCATGGCCTTACCCATGCTTGTCGGTTTTACTCTGTGATGGGGAGAGTTGTCTCCCTTGGGTGTGCCAGTATGCTAGGATCCTGATAAGATTTGCTCTGATTATGATCCTTGGTCTGCTTGTGGCTTTCTCTTTGGGCTGGGGACACAAATGGCCCAGTAGTCTTGGGCTCTGAAATTTGCCATGCAACATTTCGGTGCCGGATGATCTAATAAATCTGGGTCCCAGATTTGCTCTAAATATGATTCTTGGTTTGTCAGGACCACACCAATTCTTATGTTCCACCAAAATAGTAAATTTCTCAGGCCTGCATCACTTCAGGCTTCCTTCCCACATTAAGCTGAGTTTGAACCTCACTCACTCACTCACTCACTCACTCACTCACTCACTCACTCACTCACTCACTCAGAGCTCGAGAGATAAGCTGCGTATCTGCGTAAAATACGCATCAGAAATGCAGAAATACGCAGTAAAATAATATCCAAGCGTATCAAATACGCAACGAACATTAGAGATACGCTACAAAAATAAAACTTGTGCGTATATTCAAAATATTGTGAAGTAACCCTGCGTATTCAATTGGCAAATCAGCAACTTATTTTGAAATTATAAACGGGCATTCCGTCAACCTTGCCAAACTCCACAGTTACATCATGATCATTTGCCATCACACTTTCTTGTGGAAGTATCGTGGTATTTTTGAGTCCTATAAAGCTCTCGAACCCACACGACACTAGTTTGCAGGGACTAGATGAATAGTGTTTTTAAATAATTAACTTAAATACCCACATGTGTAAAAACTAGTGGGTAACAGAAATTTGAATACCCAGATAGAATAGCTGATACGCAGTGATTTTAAAATGCATGGGTAAAATACCCACAACACCAAAAGCTTATCTGGAGCTCTGCTCACTCACATTGGGCTGTACAAGACAGTTAAAATGAACCCACCCACCGCTGTACACTGTGTTTCCCAGTGCAGTGTGGGCCGCAGTATTCAGCCATGTCGTGCGTGCAGCCCCCGTCATGGTGTCATTAAGGCAGAGCATGTGTTCGTGTTGTATGTAGTCCATCAGCAATAATCCTCTTGTGGGGAAGTGGTATGAATGAGTAATGATCTATTGTATCACTTGTATTCTGTTAAATGTTGCACAGCCAATACTTTCAAGGGTTCAATGACAATTGAAATGTAGACCATATTTTATTTACGTGATCCTATAAAAGTGACAGGTTGCATAACAATGGTAATGATAGAATTAAAAATAGGTGACATGAGTATCATGGAGTATTGTCAGTTAACATACACAGTATTGTCAGTTAACACACAGTATTGTCAGTTAACACACAGTATTGTCAGTTAACATACACAGTATTGTCAGTTAACATACACAAGTATTGACAGTTAACATACACAAGCATTGTCAGTTAACATACACAAGAATTGTCAGTTAACATACACAAGTATTGACAGTTAACATACACAAGCATTGTCAGTTAACATACACAAGCATTGTCAGTTAACATACACAAGTATTGTCAGTTAACATACACAAGTATTGTCAGTTAACACACAGTATTGTCAGTTAACACACAGTATTGTCAGTTAACACACAGTCACATTGTCTGTTGAGGCCAAGGTATAATGTTCTGGGGGACAGTCGTACACCCCTTATTTTAAGTCAGCATTGAAAATAGTTACTGAAATACTAAAGCTATAAAACAAAGCCACACTCATCTTTGACAGAGAGCTTATACTACAAATTACAAAGCAATTGCAGTGGCAGGGACTGAAAAACATGCCCTACTGGCATGGCATGAATACTAATGTAGTCGCTATGGCGACAGTTAAATAGTAGTCCTGGTAATGATTGTGTTTATAGTAACGAGTTGTTCAGACATCCCATGACAACAATGTGCAATTGTATCCATACAGGTGCTATTAGAATTACAAATATTTCTGCTGCTGGTTGTGAAATTGGAAAATCATCCATACAATCTACTTTTAATTACTGAAGCAAGGGATGACATTATTGATATACAAACAACAAGAACTTGAGTTTATTGTCAATGAAAATTAAGTATCTATTGGAATTATCAGGTGATGGAACCTCCACAAATAGTATTGGGAAAATAAAAGAAATTTCAGATGTGGTAACTACAAATATTTATCAGAAATAGTTTTAATTGATATCTTCCAAGGATATCAATAGAATAATATTGTAGTTATTGCTTAATATGTTTTGAGTTAATTTACAATATGAATGCTGGAGAGTATGTACAGGGGTTTGCAGGTGTGTAAAGGTGTGTACAGGGGTGTACAGCTGTGACCTGGTCCACTGAGCTTAGCTCATTACTACCCTGTATTGTCAGTTGGAGGACTTCATATCTGCTGATCAGTCATTCAGTACATTGATTATGAGGCAGCAACCATACAAGACTACTTACTTCATATCTACAGTCGGGGCTCCAGAGGGGTGCTCAATACACTTCAAAAACATTTTAACATGCATGAATTGTAAGAACTCGGTTCGTACAGAATTAAATTGTAAAATAAGTAAATAACCACACAAGATCACAATGTAAACACACAGTGTTAAGTGTATAATCAGAAGAGGCAATACAATGGGTCCAACATGTGGCGGGGCGGTCGGGTAGCCTAGTGGTTAAAGCGTTAGCTCGTCATGCCGAAGACCCAGGTTCGAATCCTGACATGGGTACAATGTGTGCAGCCCATTTCTGGTGTTCCCCGCCGTGATATTGCTGGAATATTGCTAAAAGCGGCGTAAAACCATACTCACTCACTCCAACATGTGGCATCGGCAGGAGTAGCAGGCCCTGATAGTAGTAGTGACCCGCGAAGATCTGGGTTAGAACCGGCACATAAAACATGGACGTAAAAGACCACTATGCTTGTTGTAAGGGCAACTAAATTGATCGGGTGGTCAGACTCGCTGACTTGGTTGAAGCATGTCATCGTATCCCAATAACGTGGATCGATGCTCATGATGTCAATAATCGCTGACTTGGTTGAAGCATGTCATCGTATCCCAATAAAGTGGATCGATGCTCATGATGTCAGTAATCGCTGACTTGGTTGAAGCATGTCATCGTATCCCAATAACGTGCATCGATGCTCATGATGTCAATAATCGCTGACTTGGTTGAAGCATGTCATCGTATACCAATAACGTGGATCGATGCTCATGATGTCAATAATCGCTGACTTGGTTGAAGCATGTCATCGTATCCCAATAACGTGGATCGATGCTCATGATGTCAATAATCGCTGACTTGGTTGAAGCATGTCATCGTATCCCAATAACGTGGATCGATGCTCATGATGTCAATAATCGCTGACTTGGTTGAAGCATGTCATCGTATCCCAATAACGTGGATCGATGCTCATGATGTCAATAATCGCTGACTTGGTTGAAGCATGTCATCGTATCCCAATAACGTGGATCGATGCTCATGATGTCAATAATCGCTGACTTGGTTGAAGCATGTCATCGTATCCCAATAACGTGGATCGATGCTCATGATGTCAATAATCGCTGACTTGGTTGAAGCATGTCATCGTATCCCAATAACGTGGATCGATGCTCATGATGTCAATAATCGCTGACTTGGTTGAAGCATTTCATCGTATCCCAATAACGTGGATCGATGCTCATGATGTCAATAATCGCTGACTTGGTTGAAGCATTTCATCGTATCCCAATAACGTGGATCGATGCTCATGATGTCAATAATCGCTGACTTGGTTGAAGCATGTCATCGTATCCCAATAACGTGGATCGATGCTCATGATTTCAATAACTGGATTGTCTGGTTATTTACAGACCACCGTCATACAGCTCAAATATTGCTGAGTGCGACGTTAAACAACAAACAAACATGTATTAGTGCATTCATGAATGGCCAGAGTTTGTCACATCAAATGTCTCGAATGAAACCTTTTATCCGTTCTTGAATCCGGAAGAGTGTTTGAAGCTGGCAGGATTCAGTGTTTTTAGACCAGTATCCCATCCAGTATGATGCAAGTCAGATAAAAGTACAGTCAGCTTTCTCGAAACTGTCCTGCTCCGAAACATCTTTAAAGATCAAGCCTGACATGTTTCTTTACAACAAGGGAGTTAACTCTATCTTACTCACAGCCGATGTCTGCCACTAAAATTTTGATACAACAGCCCTAAACATTTTACCAGTGCTTCAATCATTTGCTGCCACTGATAACCACTACAAATTAACTTGCAGCAATCTCCATTGCCAAGACACAATGTCACTGCTAAACAGGATATATGCATGAAGTTATAACTTCTATTGATCAGCATTCAGAGGTATATTCAATTCAATTTAATTCTTTATTGTATGAAAGGCCACAGGCCCATATACAACGGAATTACAAACATATTTTATAAAATACAAAGTCAAGGTAACAATTCACTTCGTAACAAAAAAGCATTATGTATGTACAAAGCCAGTTGATGTTGTGTTATAAGATACTTGCAAGACAGTAATGAAGACAATCTTTTAGCATATTCAAATTGTATTATCAAGATGTAAAATGCTAAAATATTAACACACTGACCTTGGCTGACCCCATTTAGACCCTCGTTGTCAATGTGGGGGTGGCTCTGCCAAGAGAGATCGAGAACAATTACAACCAATATCAAATTGATTTGTTGTTTGTTCACAGATAAAGGACATACTGTTTGATAAAAGGCAATTGAAATGGAAACAAGAGATTATTTTTGTGAATCTTTGAGCCATATAAGAAAGTGCACTCATTAATACTGGAAGGCCAGGTCTATATTCTTGTCATGGTTCACTGAGGTAGGGGCGATAACTATTTTAATGTGGGGGTTCGCAGATTTGAGCCACACTAAGAAAATATATGTAATATAATTTGATTTTTGGTGTTATTTGGGAAACTGCTTTGCTAAATTAGAAATAATAAAAAATAGACATAAGTCCAAAACTATCTATTTACCTCTTGAATGATGATTGACCAAGCACATAATTATATGTAGTGTCTAGGGTAACCCTTTCAGGGAAATGAAAGTCTTCACTGACAGAACTAAATAAATATTCAAGTAACTATAATACAATGAAACATTTATCTCCACTTTAACAAAATTCCAATTTATTTTTCCCACTAAACCAACCGCCCCATTAACAATGGTATGCCAAATAATATTTAACAATATTAAGCTAGACATGATTGTATATTTTCATTCTGCTCAGAGTGATTGGTTGGTCAGTGACAAGCTCAGGATAATTGGTTGGTCAATGACGAGCTCAGGGTGATTGGTTGGTCAATGACGAGCTCAGGGCGATTGGTTGGTCAGTGACAACCTCAGGGTGATTGGTTGGTCAGTGACAAGCTCAGGGTGATTGGTTGGTCAGTGACAACCTCAGGGTGATTGGTTGGTCAATGACGAGCTCAGGGTGATTGGTTGGTCAGTGACGAGCTCAGGGTGATTGGTTGGTCAGTGACAACCTCAGGGTGATTGGTTGGTCAGTGACAAGCGCAGAGTGATTGGTTGGTCAATGACAAGCTCAGAGTGATTGGTTGGTCAGTGACAAGCTCAGGATGATTGGTTGGTCAGTGACAATCTCAGGATGATTGGTTGGTCAGTGACAAGCTCAGGGTGATTGTTGGTCAATGACGAGCTCAGGGTGATTGGTTGGTCAGTGATAAGCCTGTAAACTGTGTAAACCATTAATGTGAAAGTGTACTTTGTACCTTGCTGGGTGAGTCGAGTGCATCGGAAGTGCAGGTGAGACAGCCTATGGTGCAGAACTATCTCTCCAGCTGATGTAGCCGACAATGTTGTAGCCACACAACCAACACAGATCGTGTTCACACCGCCTCAACGTTAATCTTGTGGAAGAAACAATAATGCAAAGGAACTCTCCTAAAAAAACACTTTTGAATGCATCAAGAATCTCCACCGGTTTTCTTCCAAAGTCCATTTTTTCAAGATGAGTTGATAAAAGTTGTGTATTAAATTTCTGGCATTGCAAAGTTACCTAACCATGTCAAATGTTGCCAGTCCAGCATTTTCTAGACTAACAATAAAATGTTACCAAAGGGTAAACATAAGAATAGCACTGTTTGATGTTAGTTCTCAGAAAATAACAATAAACAGGTGGATTGTCAACATTGTGCTTTTATCTCCCGACAATCAGGCATGCAACTTTTCAAAACTGTCCATTTGACATCAAACTAGACCGTCTCGGACTGTCGGGCAGGTGGGTAATTTAGACACTGATATAAGTTTAAATATCTCATGCTTGTTGAGAAGGTTCTTACTTTATCAACAAGTCTATTATGTATTTGAGATTGGAAGACCCACATGTGAGATTCTATTTATCATCCAAAATCATATAAAAATCACATAAATATTTATCATCCAAAATCTTTCTTCCAACTTGTTCTGTTTGTAAACAGTGATAGCCAGGGTGTTGAGTGTAAAGAGAACAGCTCCAGCTTCAGTAGCAGAGAGATTAGTGATGTCATTTGATTGTGATGTCATGGTAACGATGATGTCACATTGGTCTGCAAAGCATTGTGATGCAAACTTTCTTCAACATGTTCAAAGAGCCATGTTTTTTGTGTTTGATTTTGTGTCTGTCAATTTGTAGCTTGTCCTCATCAAACTTGTCAACATTGTATCAACAAGATTAAGAAAAGACAACCAGGAAATAACGTTTTCTTACATTCAGGACAAAGGTTACTCGTTTCCTTATCCCACTCCTAGAGATTCATGCTGCTGCCAGCATGGCCAGTGTCACACTAGGTCACACAGTGTCAATATTGTCCCATAGAGACATCCATCCCCTAGGAACTTCAACCAGATTGGCTTTTGAAAAATCGTTAAATCTCCCAGTTGTATTGACTGAAAGAATGAACGGATAATGGTGCTACATATGACGTCACTTTTTGCTTTGGTGTCTGTTTACAAGCGCCCCGAGTATTCAGTTACACAAGTTCTAAACGTATTTCATATGGAACTCTTTATGTGTGCTTTCTGTCTGTTGTGTCACAGAGGATGACGGTGCATATATGTCATATTGTACCATTGATGTTGAGTTGATGCTTCTGTTAAAGAAGTACCTATAGCGCTATATATTTCATATTGCACCCTTGATGTTGAGTTAATGCTTCTGTTAAAGAAGTACCTATAGTGCTATATATTTCATATTGCACTATTGATGTTGAGTTAATGCTTCTGTTAAAGAAGTACCTATAGTGCTATATATTTCATATTGCACCATTGATGTTGAGTTGATGCTTCTGTTAAAGAAGTACCTATAGCGCTAAATATTTCATATTGCACCCTTGATGTTGAGTTGATGCTTCTGTTAAAGAAGTACCTATAGCGCTATATATTCCATATTGCACCCTTGATGTTATGTTGATGCTTCTGTTAAAGAGGTGCCTTTTGTGATGTATGTGTGATATTGCACCCTTGATGTTAAGTTGATGTCTATTCTATCACAGAGGTGTCTATGGTGCTATTGTTTATATTGCACCCTTGATGTTTAGTTGATGCCTATTCTATCACAGAGATGCAGATGGTGCTATATCTTTCTTAATGCATTCTTGATGTATATTTGATGTCTTTTCTGTCACTTAGGTAGCTATGGTGCAATTTATTTAATGTTGCTCCCTTGATGTTGAGTTGATGCCAATATATTTCATATTTTATTCCCTTGATGTTTAGTTGATGCCCATTCTGTTACAGAGGTGCCAACATATTTCATATGCCACCTTAATGTTTAGTTTTCACCAAATCAGCTGTCTGTTGTAGTGTATACAATGTGCAAAATGTATGAATCTGTGTAAGTATCAATGGTGTTTTTTACCATTTTTAAAAAAAAAATTGTACTTGATTTCATTTGCTCATCATATGTGACGAAGAAAACGCAAAGTACTTCTGGGCATGGCCTACATTTTTTTCATTCCAGTCATAATACCAAGATTCAATCAGATGCACTGCAAATATTTTAATTTATCTATTACAATTTCTTAGAAAACTGAGATCTCTTCACTGGTAGGTTATATATTTGCGCCTGTGTTTTTGATTTCAGTCGGGGGAGGATATCGTGTTCGAGACGTTCGAACATGAAAGTGGCCGCGAGTACCAGTGTCTGTATACAGGGGGGATGCGCTTCTACCTGGACGACTGGCACTCCAAGGTCAGCTGTTGTGTCGGTTGGAAATAATAATGACAATAATATTAATTGTGATAATTATCATCATGACTAAAAAAACTGACCAACAAAAACGCAAAATCATGACTTCAGTTAATTTATGTTGCCATGGATACCTGTCAGTTTTTGTGTAGCCTGTTTTGTGTCCAGGAGTGGCAGCCATTCCCTGAGCGGTGGTACAAGCAGGGGAAACTCAACACCAACACTGTATCCAAGGACAACCAGGTGAGAGGGATGTCAGACAAGGGGACTTGGCCTTATTGGTCCCATTAAAGGAGGTGACATAAAATGTGCTCTTTTTGACTGACTGTGATTTCCAATTTTAAAGTTGTAGAAAGGAGGTGACTAGAAAAGTGCTCTTTTTGACTGATTGTAGTGTCAAATTTTGACGTTACCAAAAGAATTGGGTATGATAAGTGCTCTTTTTGACTGACTGGATATTGCTAATTGTAAAGTTGTAGAAAGGATTTAAAGTTGTAGAAAGGAGGTGACTAGAAAAGTGCTCTTTTTGACTGATTGTAGTGTCAAATTTTGACATTACCAAAAGAATGGGGTATGATAAGTGTTTTTTTTGACTGACTGGATATGGCTAATTGTAAACTTTGAAATATTGTTATCATATGGCTATGAAGTTTATTGATCCTGTTAATATATGCTGACTATTTGTCATCATTATTTCTATCAAGAGCATGTGTTGGACGCATGGCATGATACAGTATAGGGTGTCGGTAGTAGGAGGAAAAAGTACATCTCCAATCAGCTGGAGTCAAAAACTGGTTTTTGTTCAAACATTAGAAAAATGTTTTCAGCAAACATCTAAAATCATGAAGAAGAAAAAGTCCAAAATCTCATTCACATGAAGACCCTTAGCAAAAGTTCCCAACAGTTTCTACAAGTGAATATTTTTCTCATTTCCTAAATTAATGTTGTCCTGTGGGCCAAAGGTTGCTACTTGCTGTTCTCTGTCCATACAGACTCGGAGAGGTCAGGGTGCCAGTACTTCAAGGGGAGGTAATCAGCCTCAACCGGCGACCTCCAGTGTACCAAGAAACCGTGATGACAGGGAAGGGGTCATCGACCACCCACGGAGGGGGAGGATCACCACGTATATGTTTAATGTGAGTCTTGGTTTTTTTTAACATGGCAGGTGATAGGGGATTCAGTGGCAGATAGGAAATTCAGAAGCAGATAGGGGATTCAGTGGCAAATGATAGTGGATTCTGTGGTAGATAGGGGTTTCAGTGGCAGGTGATAAGAAATAAAATGGCAAATGATAGGGGATTCAGTGGAAAGTGATAGGGGATTCAGTGGCAGATAGGGGATTGAGTTGTAGATAGGGGATTCAGTGTCAAGAGTTATGTTCATTGCAATGAAAATATCAAGTGTTCTGTTCACCTTTCTCAACTTCAGAAAACTCACACTGAAGGATAAAATAAAAAATATGAATTATTGAAAAAATCAGAAATGTGCCAGGTCCAAATTCCAAATGTCTCATCTTATTGGCATCTAAACTAAATGTGGAATAACATGCATTAAGACTCACTCACTCACTCACTAACTCACTCACTCACTCACTCACTCACTCACACTCACTCACTCACTCACTCACTCACTCACTCACCCACTCACTTACCCACTCACACTCACTCACTCACTCACTCACTCACTCACTCACTCTCTCTCTCTCTCTCTCTCTCTCTCACTCACTCACTCAACCACTCACTCACTCACCAACTCACTCACTCACTCACTCACTCACTCACCCACCCACTCACTCACTCACCCACCCACCCACTCACTAACTCACCCACACACCCACCCACCCACCCACCCACCCACTCACCCACTCACTCACCCACCCACTCACTCACCCACCCACCCACTCACTCACCCACTCACTCACCCACCCACTCACTCACCCACCCACCCACCCACCCACCCACTCACTCACTCACTCACCCACTCAACCACTCAACCACTCACTCACTCACTCACTCACTCACTCACTCACTCACTCACTGTTGCAGGAGAAGCAGTACAGCCACTGTTACTATGACAAGGAATCAGGGTCCTGGCTCCGGCTTCCGATTGGCTGGGAGCTGCACCACGAGCTCATCAAGAACATGGTGGACCAAGTGGAGGTGGGTGTGTGATGGATGCCGTGTACACAGGGTATGTCCTTGTGTGGGGTAGGCTGGCTGGGGTGGACAAGGTTGTGTAGGCCGAGTTGAGACGGCCGGGGGAAGTGGTTGTTCAGTACCCTCAATCAATGTCTTTGAAAGTATTTGCCAGGAAATCTGGTCTATGGCGAATGCCAATAGAAATCTGCCACTGATTTTCAGTCTGTCGGCTGTATTCATTAGGGCTGTTACGATTCACTCGCGTATTCAGTGAATCGAACCATATCCATTTCTGAATTGAATTTGTTATTCCTGGCCACTAGAATCAAATATTTTTTAATACGCAATCATGTGCATGTACAAACCTTGTACCTGAAAATATCCCAAAGAACATATTATATGCATAGATTTCTCCAAAGACAACACTCTTATAATATTTAATTTGACAGTATTGTGGTCACTGGTCATTGTAGCATTTGAGCAGAAACTAATACCTGGATAAGTGCAGTATATAAATGTATAATATATTAATAATTAACAAACCATGTCAAATAATTTATGTTGTTAATGTTTCTCTGAAGATAACAAATAATACTTCAGCTGCTGACTTGTTATTGTATTCGGGAATTAATATTCGTATTCGTATTCATGATACCTGTTTGAAGTGCAATTTGACTCTAGATTTTGTTTACAAACCTTCAATAGTTATAATTGCGTGCTTGCTTGCACCATGTATCGTAATGGTGAGCATGACATAAGGCAACAATAGTGTATTGTGACAACAAGGCTCGCTTCAACTCGGGCACACCAGTACAGTAGCACCCATGGTGGACAACCCTCATTCAGCCATACAGTACAAGTCGTCAAAAACATTTTAAAAAGATGAAGCTCTGATCTTCCACATTTAGACAGGAACACAACTGTCTAGGTTCGAGTCAAGGGGTTAATAACGTGTAGAGGTTTAATGCTGGCGACGTGCAACATGCTTCAGCAGACCTCCAAGAATGTTACTGATGTCACATCACTGCACATGCTCAGGGCCTAAGCCTAATGTAGTGGGGATTTCAATGTTACACTGAAGACACTCAACCACTGACACTGAACTCTGACGGTATTTCTAACCACTATAATACCAGTTATGTGTAACAATCTGCAGTCAGGATTATGTCTCCCCACTTAAGGGGGAATGACATATTGTTTTTGTCATTTGTGTCAGCGTTCCCATGCTATTCCGAGCCATAACCTGAAAACGTTCCATGTTTTTCGTTGAAACTTGGCATATACATTTCTCATCAGCTTAACTGGTGCCTTTTTTCTAAATTTCTCTAATTTTTATTTTGTTGTATTTCCATGGATTTTTTTTTAGGAAAAGGGGGAATGACATATTGTTTTTGTCATTTGTGTCAGCGTTCCCATGCTATTCCGAGCCATAACCTGAAAACGTTCCATGTTTTTCGTTGAAACTTGGCATATACATTTCTCATCAGCTTAACTGGTGCCTTTTTTCTAAATTTCTCTAATTTTTATTTTGTTGTATTTCCATGGATTTTTTTTTAGGAAAAGGGGGAATGACATATTGTTTTTGTCATTTGTGTCAGCGTTCCCATGCTATTCCGAGCCATAACCTGAAAACGTTCCATGTTTTTCGTTGAAACTTGGCATATACATTTCTCATCAGCTTAACTGGTGCCTTTTTTCTAAATTTCTCTAATTTTTATTTTGTTGTATTTCCATGGATTTTTTTTTAGGAAAAATAGAAAAATAGTCTCAAACTACTCTAGGCTTTGTTTTTAATGATTCAAACAGTCATACATTTTTGGATCTCCATGGAATCACACTGTAAATTATTTGCATCCATTTTTTAATTATTCTTGTATAGACACAATATGTTGCATACATGTGTGTTTGCTGCTGCTGTAGGAGGCGCTGCCTCACTGGAACGACCGTCTGGACATCCTAGCGGCGCTCAGGGCCTGCAACTACAGCGCCGATGAGTGCATCTCCATGTACTTCCACTTGGAGGGCGACGGTGAGGTCCAGCTTTGCTTCTTGTTGTTTAACGCCACACTCAGCAATATTCCAGCTATATGATGGTGGTCTGTAAGTATTTGTGCCTGGACCAGACAATCCAGTGATCAATATCATGAGCAACGATCCGATCCATGGCATCAGGGTACGAAGACATTCTAATAACCAAGGTGAGCCTGACGTCCAACTGACTCCTACAACATACTCAGTGGTGGAGTATTGTAACCAATTGTAACATGGTGTTCTCATGGCTTTCCTGGTTTGTTGCATATGTTCAAAGTTTAACCAAAGTGGTTAAGACATGCATCACTTCAGGCTTTCCTCCCCCTATTATTTGGAATACTGTCCAAGGAGGTGTTTGTGAAGATTCGGGTTAGAATTAGTCTTCAGCAAACCATGCTTGTCTCAATGGGTGTCTATGCTTGTTGTTAGAGGCAACTAACGGGATTTGGTGATCACTCTCTCTGACTTCGTTGACTTGGTTGATGCCTGTCATTGCATCTCAATTACGTATATCGATGCTCATGATGTCAATCACTGGATCATCTGGTCCAGACTTATTATTTACAGACCACCGTCATACAGCTTAAGTATTACTGAGGGTGGCGTTAAACAAGAAATAAACAAACAGTATACTGTTCAAGGCGATATTAAACCATATAATTGAAATACGATTCAAGGCAGAGTTAGACCATATCAGTGAAATACTGTTCAAGGCAGTGTTAGACCATATATCTGAAATACGATTCTAGGCGGTGTTAAACCATATCACTGAATGCTGTTCAAGGCAGAGTTAGACCATATCAGTGAAATAATGTTCAAGGCAGAGTTAGACCATATCAGTGAAATAATGTTCAAGGCAGAGTTAAACCATATCAGTGAAATACTGTTCAAGGCAGTGTTAGACCATATATCTGAAATACGATTCTAGGCAGAGTTAGACGGTGTTAAGAGCTATATATCGGAAATGCTGTTCAAGGTGGTGTTAATCCAAACTCAATCATTCATTCACACTCACTCACTCCATGGTTCCCCCCCAGACTGGCTGAAGGTCCCCCGAACATCCAAGGAGGCCCAGCACCAGGCTGACAGGGAGATCCGGCTAGCGGTGCTGGAAAAGAAAGTCAGAGAACTGGTAAGGAGGAAGAACATGCACAACTTGCATCAGTTGTTTTTGCTTTAAGCCTTGGGGAACAATACCAATAATGGATTTCTCAGGTAGATCCACGAGAATTGAACCCAGACTTTCAGCTTAGGGAGGTGGTGCACCATCTGCTGAGCCACCTCACTGCTCCCCAGAACGCCAATGCAGGAATATGAATGATGATTGCATATCAACATGATAGACAGCATATGCAGGAATTTGTGAACGAACATGATAATTTGAAACAGTCAGATCGGTTGGAATTCTGGAATTAAAGACTTACAGAGGCATGGTATAAGGTACAGAACTTGTTGTGCGGAGTTGCATCCATAAGTAGCCAGGGGATCGTCTGACCATGGGTTGGAATCCAAGATTCACCTTTTCATGATCACGGGTTTGTCCAGCCAGCACCATGCGCATTGGTTTAAAAACGTGGTAAGAGGTACGATTTGTATCAGTGGGGTTCAGCCAGCACCATGCGCATTGGTTTAAAAACGTGGTAAGAGGTATGATTTGTATCAGTGGGGTTCAGCCAGCACCATGCGCATTGGTTTAAAAACGTGGTAAGAGGTATGATTTGTATCAGTGGGGTTCAGCCAGCACCATGCGCATTGGTTTAAAAACGTGGTAAGAGGTACAATTTGTATCAGTGAGGTTCAGCCAGCACCATGCGCATTGGTTTAAAAACGTGGTAAGAGGTACGATTTGTATCAGTGAGGTTCAGCCAGCACAATGCGCATTGGCTTAAAAACGTGGTAGGAGGTACGATCTGTATCAGGGGGGTTTTCCTTCCCCACTCAGTTGATGCAGCGTGATATGATGGAAATATTGTGTTAATCCCCACTCACTCATTCATGTCTTACATACATACCCATTTCACTTTGACTCGGATGACAAACAACAATTTTGTTGTTCTTGTTTTTATCTATATTTATTCACAAGCCCCTGTTACAGTGTGGAGATCCAATCCCAGGGTAAACATGAACCTCCATTATCTATTTATTTGATACAAAATAATTTCAAACAATGGTCTTGTGATGTTTTATGAAATTAAAAGGACATACACATCACATCCATACCCCATTCACATAGAGGAATGTATACAAGATTGTACCAGGTCAAGTACATGAGAATTACATCAATGGTTCTCAAAAAGGCAATGACACACCATCCATTGTGAATATAACTTGCCCTGAGTACTTCATTTGAAATGAATACATTTTTCAATATTTTAACGAGATTGAAATTATCTTAAACCATTTCAAACAAACATCAAATGAATATCTTGTGGAGTGGATATGGAGTGAGTAAATTGTTAATTGGGTGGGTATACTTTTAGTATACCTGATTGTGAAAACAGTCCATCCCACTTGTGACAAAAATAACAAAATTATAATTACATGTTTACAAGTTCAAAGACTTCTGACAATATATTTTCAATGTCATATGGCTTTGAGTTACTGGTATGACAGCGAGTGATGTCAAGTCAAAGATGGTAACACTGTGACATCCTTACATTTGTTTGTTCTGTTTGTTTGTTTGTTTGTATCCTTAAGTATCCTTAAGTAACATAACATTGTATCCTTAAGATTTGTTTGTTGTTAAATGCCGCACTCAGCAATTTTCCATCAAAATGACAGCGGCCTGTAAATAATCGAGTTTGATTGATGTCACAGGCATTGATCATGAGCCATGGGATGCAATGACATGCATCAACCAAGTCAGCGAGCCTGACCACCCGATCCCATTAGTCACCACTTATGACAAGCATTGTCGCCTCTTATGGCAAGCATGGGTTGCTGAAGACCTATTTTACCCCGGATCTTTACGGGTAGTGATATCCTTACAGGCCAGCCATTCAACTTGTATGGGTGTTTACAAGACGGCGACAGGCCGCCACATACGTAGATTCCTGTACCAGTACTGATGATGTGTGTTGCAGGAGAAGGACTTGCAGCAGGAGGAGAAGGGACGGAAAGAAGCAGAGGAACAGGTACAGAGCTCTCTTGAACGTCGGTCAGGTGCAGTGTTCGAAATAAAATATATGGCCAGGCTGTAAGCAGGTACCCAAAGAAACTTGAAACTGTGGGCCTGACGCGAGCTCTACCTGCCACGGGCCTTCAGACAAGCTTATTTGGAACACTGATGAGGTGTAGGAGCGTGGCCAGATGTCTGTATGCCCTTGTACATCTGATGCCGTCATCTGGAGGTCATCTCACGTCTACATTGTCATACATTGGAACCTGTTAACACCAGATTGATCCATTCCTCAAAGTGATCTTAGCGCTAAGACGAACATAACTCCCTATCTTAACAAAGAGTTACAACAGTCGTAGCATTAAAATCACTTTGTGAAACGGGGCCCACACTGTTTTATCAAATCTGATGTCTGTGCTCATCGACTGATTTAGGATCCTGTCATTTCTAAGTTATTCTTTCTGCTTCAAAGAATGGCCTTAGGGAATGTCTTTTTTGATGGAAGAATAATCTTGGTCACTTAATGCTGATTCTTGCCTTTGCTATCCTGGTATTTCAAATTTAAGTCTCATAATACATGTACCCGGTACTAGGGGACACAAGGGAGGTAAGTTTTTCTGTCCTTTCTTCACAGATAGAGGTATTTGATGGGAACCACAACAACAAAAATTTAAATACATTGAATTTTTCACTGAATTTGTTTCTGGTAAAACATGAGGCATAATCTTTTCTCTTAATTTTTTCTGGAATATTTTTGAAGAGATTAAGCTGACCACTTTTTGTTGCCACCAGCCTCAGTTGTTACAGATTCCACTGTGTTCATTCATTAAATCAATTACCTCAGTAGCACTGCTGACTGAAGTTGTCGTAGTATTGTTTGAGACTGAGATATGGAGACACACCACCACATCGACCCATCACCCCTCCATCATAATATGACATTATCAATTCAGTGTCGGTTAGACATTAAGGTGCAAGAATATATTTTATACATATTTTACTTTTCTGAACCTGCTTTTACCTGACACATGTTTTCTTCTTGCCTGTCAGTTGAACAAACTGCAGGAACAGTACAGCACAATATCTGCTGAGGCCAAGATCGCAACTACACAGGTTGAGGCGATGCAGTCCTCGCGACCCAAGACAGCTCGACCAAAAACACCAAAGGTAAAAACACCAGGGGAACAATTATTGACAGCCATGATGAACATTAAATGAAATCTGGGTACAATCACCAAAGTTATGTATTTCTACATGATGGGACTTTTTATACAAAACGTTTTGTTGGTCAACCTGTTGAATGAACATTGAAATCGTTAATCTTGTCCTGATTTAACACCTGGCGTAATCACTGATTTTCAGTGATCCATTCATATAATTTTCATCACTGTTTTGCCTTTTATGCGCAATGGAAACTGTGTTGGCAGATAATCGAGATTGGTTATTCTCTGGCGTTCAAGGGGGCACGGGTGGCCCAGTCATCTAAGGCGCCGCGATTCGCTGTGCAGAGTTGCGTCCCTTGGACACGCCAGAAACCTATGATTGTGGGTTCGAATCCGGTTCGCCCCGATTATGTTTCTAGGTTTGTCAGCACCATACCCGTGGTCTTGGGTTTCACCGAAGTGGTAAACCTCTCATATCTGCATCACTTCGGGCTTTCCTCCCACATTAAGCTGACACGCCGTGATATAACTGGAATAGTGTTAAAAGCTGCGTTAAACCCTACTCACTCACTCACTCTGGCGTTGGTGTTTTATATTTTCATGATATTCAACTGCAATATGGTAAGGATGTTAATAAGAGTTGTCCTCCACCTGCTTGAGTTGTCTCCCTTGCAGACCAGCAAGGGGCCACCTCCAGGAAGTCTCGGAATATTCAGTGATGACTTGGACGAGTTGAACAACAAGGCGAAGAATCTTCACAAGTCGCACGTGCACCTCAAGATGGACGTGGAGCGCCACTTCGGGACTCTCGGAAAGATGATTAAAGAGGTATGACAGCTCAGTGGGAACCGGACAACTACCTCTCATGCAGTTGTCACTGAGGAATAATTGTTACCCTGGCTGTTTTCATAGACCCTATAACTGTGTAAAATGCAGATATAACTAGTTTCTTGCCATGGACTATTGTCAGGCACTGTCAGAAGTAGGTCAAATAACGTGTCACTGTGACTGCTTTAGTTCTGCTAATGTGGTACTACTGTCATTGTGTTGATTAGGCGCTGTCAGCCGTGAGTCAGATCAAGCACTCGGAGTCCGGCCAGATGAAGGAGTTGGAGGAAGTGCGGGCTCTGTACCAGAAAGAGGCTCTCGAGAGGAAGTTGCTCTACAACCAGGTACTACTTTCCTATATCACATACAACCTCTACTGTTTAACTGTTGTAGTTCAGGGAGAAGTGGGGCGGTGGGGTAGCCTAGTGGTTAAAGTGTTCGCGCGTCTCGCTGAAGACCCAGGTTCGATTCCCCACATGGGTACTACTTGTGAAGCCTGTTTCTGGTTTCCCCCACTATGATATTGCTGGAATATTGCTAAAAGTGGGCGTGAAACAAAGTTGACTTTGACTGAATGACTGAGACTGGTACATTGACTGGTACAAGCTGTAATAAAATATACAAAGTCTATTAAGTATAAAGTTCAAACCAAATGAAATTAATCTACAAAAGAAATAATACATGAACGTGAAAACAGCATGAAAATACCATATTGTTACACCATAATGCAGACAGTATTGTTAACATAATATAGATATTATTGTGGGATTTTCCGGATTTTAAGCTGTAACAACAATTGAAATCTTTTGCCATTAAAATATACAAAATTTATCGTTTTACAACATGTAAGCTGCAGAAAAATATATATTGGCTACAAACAAAGCATTCTCCATTCATATTTACAAAATTTTGGTGTCTTAAATCCCCACAAAAAGTCTCAGTTTGTCGATTACCGCAGCTATCAACTTCCAAACAAAACGTGGTTTCCAAAATGGTGGCCAAATTCCTAAACGGCACAAACCAAAACCGAGAAATTGAAACTTGGTAAAACAGCCTTGAAATACAAAAACTGTTTCAATTCCCAACACTCCAGATGACTTGTACTTGTGAAATGTTCTAGTGAGGAGAGAGTGAGTGAGGTAGGGTTTAACACGTTCTGATGAGGAATTCCTATGGGGAAGCTTATAGTCAGTTTGTTGTGTGTGTGTCAAAGAAACAAGGCTGCATAAATGAGAGATTTTAAAGTTATGTTATGCACACCTAGGGAGCACCTGTATGTATTATGCTGTCATACTATTTTGTATTTTTAATTGATTATTTTATTTAAGCTTCAAGAGCTTCGTGGGAATATCCGAGTGTTCTGCCGAGCGAGGAAAGATACCCGCACCAAGTGCTGTCTGACGTTCCCATCAGACCAGGACATTACCATCACTAGCAAGGACGGCTCGAAGAAGACGTTCAGCTACGACAAGGTGTTTGACACAGAGACGACTCAGGACCAGGTGAGCTTCAGTGTTTCTTCCTGCTCATGATTCATACAAACACATTTGAATGTATTGACCTTTTTCACACTTTCGCCATCTTGGATCGAAAATGAGGCTTGGAGAGCATAGCTCCATGCAGTGTGAGTCGCATCAGCTGATAGGGAACAGACAGCATGTTGTGCATTTCACCGATGGACATTTCAAACAAACAAAACATGGTATCCTCTGTATCTAATACAGAAGATATTTCACATTTAATAATGAGGTCCAACTAAAATATGCCTGTAATAAACTGGAATTAGCATTTTGCTGTCAGGACCTCGGAAGTGAATCGAAAGGTGCATTTCGAGATATGTATTTCAGAAATAGATTGGAAAAGGAAACTAAAAATTGATAAATATAAATAATGCATGAAATTGAAGAAATATAAGAATTGATTCAACCACCAACTTCTTGAGCACCCTGACCTAGTCCTGTATGATGATAGGTAATTGTATATCAAAAGGAAGCTACTAATACATTTATTCTGAATAGTTTGAAAATGTCTTGATCAGATATGAGTACAGATAAAATAACAAAAGATAGAAAGGAATCAACTTCAATTGCTAATCAAGCCAAGATAAAATATATGTATCGGTACAAATTATGTTGATGGAACAATCTGGATTTCTCATATTTAACAAAGAAAAACAAACCGAAATTTTCATGTCGTTATTTCTCAAAATATAAGTTTTCAAAACTTAACATGGACCGGGTGTCTTTGTCAGTCAAAAGCATCTAATTAAATTCCAGGAGAAAATAATTTTCTTGCTTGTAAACAAATGGTAAAATGTGCTTTTTTAGTGTCTGATAAATATTGGCCATGTTGTTTTGTGAGTGAATAAGGCTTTTCACTTCCACGTCCTATTTAAGTGGAATGTGACAGGAAGCACATTTGTTGATTGAATGAATATGGCTTTTCACTTCCTCGTCCTTTGACCGGACGCACATTGTAACCAGTATCCATCACCGGATACTAGTACTTCATTGTGTTGACTCGCTGGCCTGAAATGAATATTTCAATAATATTGTGATAATATTTCTACTTCAATAATTTTTTTTATAAACAATGCATATTCACCTTCTCTCAAAATATTGCTTATTTAGAAAACAACATTCTTCTGAAATAGAGAAATTTAAGGAAAATTAATCACTGTGTACATTACATGCTACTTTAGAACAATCTTGAAGGCATCAATTCATCTGATATGTCTAAAACTCAAACAGTATATTCTGTGTAAACAGTATACTAAACAGATGCATCAATTTAATGACAGTGTACTACAGCTCTTTATATCAATGTCACACAGAAATTCACTCTTGTTTTAATGAAACACGTTTTGATATTTGTATTACCAGTATATATTTAATCATGAAATACTTTGTTCAGTCTGACCATGCTGAAAACATACTTTCGCTAGAGTGAAATAAATAAGATTTTTATTAAAATCAGGTGAAATATCACGTTTTGTCACACTTACTGTCAGTCTGCCTCATTGACACTATGGTTTTCTGAGTAAGGTCATGAAGATCACAAAGAAAATATAAGACTTGAATTTATTTTGTCCAATGAAATGTTTATCTCTTCTTGTGGTTTACTAAAGTTGATATCTTGACTTAAAAATATTAACTTTGTCAGATCACAAGATGAGATAAATTCATGCTATAATCGTTATTTGACAAGGAAAACAAATTTCTTCTTTGTATTAATATTTTTTTATATTTCTCGTTTTGATTGAATTATAAAAATTATCAAAATTATCACACCACTTGACTTGATTGAAATAAACTAAAGTTCTAAAGATTGTTAACAATAGTAAAATATTACATCATAACAATATAATTATTTCAAAATGACACAGTAAGCACAACTATATTCTTACATATAAATTGATATGAATAATAATCAATAATACATGGCAATTGCTAGCACAAAAGAAATAATTTTGTTTTAAAAGTTTCAAAACATGTTTGTGGACATAAAACCAGATGGGTTTCACAATTAAACAAAGGGAATAAATGAGTTACGCATGGGAATTAAAAATAATTCTGTTTATACTTTAAGTTTATAGTGATGTCAATATCAATTTATGCATTTGAAATATTTGAATACAAACTGTTAAAGAATTATCTGTTTCTGTAAATTATATAAAGATCACATGTAGATTGAACATTTACTGGCAATTAATTAGTTGGGTTTTTGTTCATTTCATGGCATGATTAATTTAGTAGGTAAAGTAAATATAATTTTGGTAGAAATATGGTTTACAAAATTGCAGATCAAACTGTACTTTACTTCAAATATTTACACACCCTTTATGTAATAATTCAGTTGAAATATTACACCTCATGCTATCTAATCTGTCAACATTGACAATGAAAATAACAACTGTTCACAATCACAACAGCACAAGTCGATCTAGAGGTCTAATATTTTATTGGAATGCATTTGAGTACATTACAATTTACATCAAATACACAACTGATGCAAAATTCTGATTTGTTACGATTGTAATTTCTCAGTAGGTTACAATTTGATACATTATATCAACATATCAATTTAGTTAGTTTCTGACATATATCTAGATATGGTCAAAAGGTCAATATTTCGACTTCAAAAACAACCTGCAAATTTATTTAAACTCACAATAAATAGTTTGGCTTAATGGTGTGTAAACAATGAATTATTCTTTACAAGATCTCAGTAGCATTTGTATTAAGTCTGTTCAGCTACCATAAACTGCACTGGGAGTCACCAGGTGGTCATGGATATTTTAAATTGAAATCACAACAGAACGGCCAGACTCAAATTTATATCGGTAAGGAGACCAGATAACAGTAGAATAGTTTGTCAATGATAAGAATAAGAATAATGTTCAATACTTACGATAAATGTACCGGGATGGTTAAATTGTCACAGTTTGTCCCAATTGCGTGCCTTGTTGACATCTCCATGTGTTTCATGTGCTATCCAGCCTTCACCTTCTGCTCTCCAAGCCTCGCTTTCAAGCCGGAAGTAGCGAAGTGTGAAAAAGGTCAATAGGTTTGCGTTAAAGTATTCTGGGACATTATACATTGGACATGCTTATGTAACTGAAAGTGAATTGAGTGATTGAATGAGGTGCGTTTGGTGCCACTTTGAGGAGAAAATCAGTTAAATCTTCATGTGTCGGTACAACATGGGAGGGAGACACCAAATGTATTTTGTGAACATATGTGTGGCACTCACAGACCCACATCACGATGAGGGTGAATCTGGTAGTTCTGTCGAAAACTCTTGATCCTGGCGCTGGCAAGGGAGGCCACAAATGGTGGCACCTTAGACCATAGGTCCACTCATGCCCACAGTGTTGAACTAAACAAATGCTAGTTTTATGATGTGTTCCAATAACCCTCATAGAATTGTTCGTACCTCGTTTATATATAAAGTAAATTCAAGTGGGTCTAAAAATGCTGTTCTAATACGTTGTCTCTATTTTAACAATTAGATATTTGAGGATACGAAGGCCATCGTCACTTCCTGTGTGGATGGGTACAATGTGTGTCTGATGGCGTACGGTCAGACGGGCTCTGGGAAGACCTTCACAATGATGGGGCCAGAGAGTAACCCGGGGATCAACATCAGGTCATTGTTTGTTGTTATACCATGTCTGTGTTATAACGTGTTATTTCCATTGTTTTGGCAGGTTGTTATTCTTCGTAACGACCCTGTACATGCAATCTCCTGAAGTTGGAGGTTTGAATTCGGACAAAAGGGGACGCAAGCCTTGGTTCATGGTCTTGCATTGTCACGTTCATGACCCACATTGTATCAGTTGGTTTGCACCCAATCTCTTCATGGGATATGGTCTTCAACGCTATCACCCTTAAGGAGGGTTCTAACCTATACTTATAAACCTATTCATTGGGATCGCTATTAACTAAGAGACTTCTTTCTATAGGCATTAAAACCTATTGTGAGGTTTTACTTTCCAGTCGGGTTAAATCTCATAAACAGGCACGTTGTAATGTCCCTGGGATTTTATAGGATATTCAAGTCATATTTGCTATAATATCCCAGGGATTTTATATAATGTCCTGGGTATTTTATTAATGTAACTTCCGTTCAGATTGTAACATGTAATGAAATGTAAAATCAAACAACAAATGTTTTCTTTATGTTCCCGAGGATTGAACTCGCAACCTTCATATCTGTAGCCCAGTGAGTGTACCACGAGGCTACAGAGGTGTTGATAAGCCACACTGGTTTTTAGAATGTCCTTTTCAAGATGCTTACGCCAGCAACAGATATTTTACGAGCGTTTCCTAAGGTTCATGGAAAGTATGTTCGAAACACAAAAATGTTGATAAATGTTGTTTAAAGTTTCTTTTTTCGGTTTATAAGCATGGAAAAACACTTTCCCTCGGTTTTGGTAGACAGAGCATGCCCTGGGGGTCGGGAAAAACCAGGGGGGCTTCCCTCTCCCCAGGGCATGCTCTGTCTACCAAAACCTCGTAAGCGTGTTTTCTCCAATACATAACACAGACGATTAGTCATCCTCCAAAGGTAAGGGAGTTAACTGACTATAAAAGTCCAGTTTACACCCTTGCAGATCTAAGCTGGAATTTCTGGATTCTATTGCAGTGCCACCAGTTGTTAGTACGAGTTATGTCCCTTCTATGTCCTTCCTATTGACCAATAAGATTCCACCTCTCATATCACTTGCATTTGCATCAATACCACAGCAGGTTATTATGTGTCAATACCACAGCAGGTTATTATGTGTCAATACCACAGCAGGTTATTATGTGTCAATACCACAGTGGGTTATTCTGTGTCAATACCACAGCAGGGTATTATGTGTCAATACCACAGCAGGGTATTATGTGTCAATACCACAGCAGGGTATTATGTGTCAATACCACAGTGGGTTATTATGTGTCAATACCACAGCAGGTTATTATATGTCAATACCACAGCACGTTGTATATCAATAACAGCAGGTTATTTTTCTTTGTAATATTTTAAGGTATTTTGTAATATTTGGATACATGTATATAAGTATGAGTTATTTTGTTTGTTTGCCAGAGCTATCACAGAGCTGTTGAAAGTGTGTAACGAGAGAGAGACGGTCACGTACGCACTCAAGGTGAGACACGGGGGGTACATGCACACTCAAGGTGAGACACGGGGGGTACATGCACACTCAAGGTGAGACATGGGGGGTACATGCACACTCAAGGTGAGACATGGGGGGTACATGCACACTCAAGGTGAGACACTGGGGGTACATGCACACTCAAGGTGAGACATGGGGGGTACATGCACACTCAAGGTGAGACATGGGGGTACATGCACACTCAAGGTGAGACATGGGGGGTACATGCACACTCAAGGTGAGACATGGGGGTACATGCACACTCAAGGTGAGACATGGGGGTACATGCACACTCAAGGTGAGACATGGGGGGTACATGCACACTCAAGGTGAGACACGGGGGGTACATGCACACTCAAGGTGAGACAGGGGGGTTACATGCACACTCAAGGTGAGACACGGGGGGGGTACATGCACACTCAAGGTGAGACATGGGGGTTACATGCACACTCAAGGTGAGACACGGGGGGTACATGCACACTCAAGGTGAGACACGGGGGGTACATGCACACTCAGGTGAGACACGGGGGGTACATGCACAGCATCAGCATTTGTGTGTTAATAACAACAGGGAAAAATATTTGTCAGAAATTATTAAGACAATAACCTCATCAAAACTCAGAATTAAAGATTATCTTATTCATTTAAATAATTTTATCATCCAAAACTGGCTCTCACAGGAGATATGCTTAGGTGAGATCAAGCGGTTTATCTACATTGTACTTCTCCAAAGTATGTTTTATTATCAATTTCAAAGTTATAACTATTTTAAGCAAAGGCATTTATATTTCATCAGTTGTTGATCCAAAATTTCCACCTTGGTCCGATGTGTACGATGACATGATGTGCCATGTTGTTGGCAGGTGTCTCTCGTGGAAATCTACAACGAAACTGTTGTTGACCTGCTGACGGCTGACGCCAAAACCGTGGAGCTGAAATCAGCTGGGAACAACATCCGCATGCCGAACCTGACCGACCATGAAGTGGCAGAGGTCAAGGACATTAAGCACGTGATGGCAATGGGAGACAAGAACCGGACAACAGCTAGCACCAAGATGAACTCAACCAGGTACACAAACACTGTTTACCTTTGGAGAAGAAAGTGAGGAGGAATGATATGCTGGTTCCCTCGTTCTATTTCAAAATGTACAGGTGACATAACATGTGACGTACGTAAGCAAATTGCATATACTACACTATTTGTACCCAGTGGGAGGAGATGAAAATGTGAATGCATATCTTTCCAGTCCAAAATGGTGGGAAAAAAGGCAGTAGAACTGTGTCTTCAAATTAGACAATTGTTTATGTAGAAATAGTTCCGCTAAGACTAAATTCTAACTCACTCAGTCACTGAGCCTCCATCTCTCCAAAGCCACCCAAATCCCACTCACTCATCCACTCATTCACCCACCCACCAGCCGCATCCGTGGTCTTGTGGTAGAGTGTCCACCCGGAGAGCGGAAGGTCCGGGGTTCGATCCCCGGCCGCGTCATACCAAAAGACATTAAAAGATGGTACTTGTTGTTACCCTGCCTGGCGCTCGACATTAAGGGGCTAAAACAAGGACTGGTCGGCTCGTAGTCAGTATACTGTGTCTGAGTGGGGTATTCATGTTAAACTGCGGCATGGTATCTCAGTGAGCTAGCACTATAAATCGGCATCAGTCCTGACTAGTACAAGCAGCTACACACACACACACATGCATGTACGTTGCTATATAAGTGCAATAATCTTGGACGCGACGTTAAACCCAATTTCACCTCACTTCACCTCACTCACTCACCCACTCACTCACTCACTCACCCAAACCCACTAACTCACTCACTCACTCACTCACTCTCTCAGCCAGACCCACTCACCCACTCACTCACTCACCCACCAAAACCCACCCACCCACTCACTCACTCACTCACTCACTCACTCAGCCAGATCCACTCACCCACTCACTCACTCACCCACCAAAACCCACTCACTCACTCACTCACTCACTCACTCCGGACTAGTACAAGCAGCCACACACACACACACGTGCATGTACGTTGCTATATAAGTGCAATAATCTTGGACGCCACGTTAAACCCAATTTCACCTCACCTCACCTCACTCACTCACCCACTCACTCACTCACTCACTCACCCAAACCCACTCACTCACTCACTCACTCACTCACTCACTCAGCCAGACCCACTCACCCACTCAATCACTCGACAACCAACCCACTCACTCACTCACCAAAACCCACTCACTCACTCACTCACTGCATGTCCTGTTCCTTGCAGTTCCCGGTCCCACCTGGTGCTCCTGCTGAATGTGGAGGGGACAGACAAGGTCACCGGGGCTGTATCCCGAGGAGTCCTCACGTTGTGCGATCTCGCTGGGTCCGAGAGAATATCAAAAACTGAGGCCCAAGGACAGAGACTGGTGGAGGCTGCTGCCATCAATAAATCGTTATCCGCTCTTGGGCAGGTTGGTAGAAGAATGACAAAGACTTGTATGCACTAAGATCCAATCTCTTCTTTTCAATGGAGGAGAAAGATATTTTAGATGAATAGTTTCTTAAAAAATATTGTTTGTTGGCACTAGTGAAAAAAATGAATGCCTTGTTTTGTGTAAAAATACCCAAACATCAAAAATTTTGTTCTAATAGTGAAAATGAATGGATTGTTTGATGGTGCTACTTAATATATAGTTTATTGGTTACAGCTGTGTAGCTGGGGGAAAAATAGATTGTTCTCGACAAAACTCCCCATCAACCCACCCACCTCCCATACAAATCAATTGTAAGCTCTCTAAGATCCAATGTTTCCGTTCTACAGGTGTTCTCAGCGCTAAGATCCAGTCAACTACACGTGCCTTATAGAAACTCGAAACTCACCCAGATTCTTCGGCCATCTCTAGGAGGAGATGCCAAGGTGAGATAACTCCCTATTAATTTGTACAGAAACAAACGTGGACACCATATTTGACATAGAAATGTAAATTTATGCGGCAAAGGTCTCAGTCAACGTGATTTGACTTGTTTTAATTTTCTCGATGATACAGAGGTGTACTTCTTTTTAGCTCACCTGACTGAAAGTCAAGTGAACCAATGTCATGACCACATGTCTGTTTTTTGGTGTCAGACGTCTATCATGTTTCGTCCGGCGGTCGTCATAAACATTGTCTACTCATAAACCATGGGACCAATGAGACTGAACTTCACATTGCTCCCACCAATGATGACACTCCAATTTGTTCAAGCAGCTTGAATCAAATTTTATGACATGGGCACCACATACAACAATATTGAAAAAACAATTTATGGCCATGTCTAGGTCATTATTTGTAAAAAAAATAATGAAATTTGGTACATATGATGACAGTAGTGAGGCTCAACAATGTTCCGCTTTTTGCTATTTCTGACCTTGGTTTGACCTTTACACAGTGACCAATCTGGAAGCTGAAACTTCTTATTACAATTACTCAGTCATTTTTGTTCAAAATGAAAGGAAATATGGTGTGTGTAGTGTATGGGGCTGAACAAAGATTGTTCCATTTTTTTTGCCCTTTTTTCAAAGTTTGACCTTGATTCGACCTTCGCACTTTGACATAATCAAATGCATTTCTGTGCACTGTAAACATCGTTCCTCAGAAACCACTTGACCAATGAAGTGGAAACTTCACATGCTTGTTGCCGCAAATGATGAAATTCTAATTTGTTCAAGAGGTGTGACTCCAATTTTCAATATGGAACTGACGACAACTTTTGTTAAGTGGCTATCTTTGCTGACATTTTTAACTGTTCACTACATGTCCAGGTGAGCTACAGTACTGTGACGCTACATTTACATTGTTGTTGCATGTAGCTATCATCTTATCAGTTTTATCATATCCGATTTTAAATTTAAGCAACCATCATTTAAAAAGTATGTTGATAATGATCGTTCAATCTCATTTCAGGCATGTCTATTTGTCAACGTCAGCCCTGATGCTAACAATTACCCAGAATCCTGTAACACTCTAGACTTCGGCTCCAATGCTCGCCAGGTGGCGCTAGGCCAGGCTAAGCAGAACATCTCCAAGAAAGCGCCATAGAGACCACAGGAACATGTTCAAAGATCACGAGTCCTGATAATAGATAATTAATTACATAGATCACCATCAAGAGTGGCAAACAGGAAATAACAATTGTGTAATTGTATCAGTATTTTTTACATTTCTGTAATAATACTTGTAGTATCAATGTCAACTTCTGTTTGTATCATTTGTGGCTTTTTCCCTATTAGTTATGAACACATTTAACAGTTATAATGTCAGGCCCATGTGATAACAAATATATTACCAATGAATATTTATCCCCTGTGATAACGGGTATGTGACAATGTGGCAATTGTCTCAAGTGATTATTGATGTGATAAAGAACAGATACTCACTCATAAAAAATATGAAGGTGTAACTTTTTGAAGTCTATACAGTGATATTATTTCATCCTGTGTGTTTAAAAATCAAACTATTCCTCCTATGGCCACACTTTGCAGAGTTGCATCCCTTAGGTGTACCAGGATCCTGGGTTTCAAATCCTAGATTTGCCCTGAATGATCCGAGTTCGTCAGCATCATATGCATGCTTGTGGGTTTTGCCAAAGTGATAAATGTCTAAGACCTGCATCACTTGGGGCTTTCCTCCCACATCAAGCTGCCATAACATGAATGAGAATGTTTCTGGTGGCCTAAATAACTCACTTACTCCTAATTCCAAATATGCTGTATCTGTGTCAGTCTACGGAGAGTGATGGGGATGTTGTGGCATATATGTAAAGATATTTAAAAATATATGTGAAGAAAATATTTTTAGTCACTTCAGAATCATATCTTTTAAATAATGAAGTCCTATTTGTCACTGTACACCCTTGCCATATATGTGACATTGACACAACTACCCAAACATTATTAGAATAATTAGAGCAAAACAGTATAATTTTCAATATATTTTCAGTTATATCTTACCATTCAGGAAATGTGATTCGACACATCTTAGTTATTAAATCATCATGTATGTCAACATCTTCTTAGAGAAAGGGGAGGGTGCCATAGCCTAGTGGTTGAGGTGTTTGCTTTACACACCTAAATCCCAGTTTCATCCTCTCACAGGTGTTCAAACCCATTCCTGCTGTTCCCCACTGTGATATAGCAACCCTTCATAGAACCATACTTACACACTTTAATAAGAAATAAATGTTTTCATTGTCTGTAAAATGACTGTTTTTTTATTCATAATACAAAATATTATGTGAAGTGCAATTGACTTATTGTGCCTTCCTTGCTTAGTCATGCTTGTATTTACTAGAAAGGCAACATACTATTTAGACATTCCATTTTACCATTTGTTGAAGAAATTATTCAGAACAGAGAATGTATATCCAATATGTTTAGAAGATATCCAGTGACAGACATAAATAAATTTCGATAGATGCCAAAATACTTACTAGGTCGTTAAGTTTAATGATTTATGTTTTTTCCTGAAAAAGATGATGATACTAGGTTATAGGTTGTTTTCTTTGAAATTTGTGGATGTGGTAACTGTGAATTGGTTGTCCATGTGAGTAGTCGCTGTGTTTCCAAGGAAACAGGGCTTATGAAGATGGTTAATTGTTATTCTTTGCTCCGTCCTACACAACTACCTATATGCAAGCTGTGATATACTTACTAATACTTCATTATTTATATTCCATATTTATTTTTTCTAATGTTCTATTTCATATTTAGTCATTTCATACATTTGTTACAAATATGTTGGTTCAACAACAGGATTTCATGTTTATTTGAAAACGACTGAATAATGTCAATGATTGAATGTCTTTGTATAACAGATGATGTTATTCTGGTATCAATTTCTGAAGTGTCTTGTTTCTATTGACCACAGTAGAATATCAAAAGTGAGAACAAACAAATCCACCCAGTGACAAAATCACAAGCTTTATGATGATGCCGCGTTATTCAGGTATATTAGTGATGTTTATTATGCATGAGGGATGAAATAATGTATTTATATGGAGAGAACTATAATGGATATCTCACGAGAGTGAAATCACATGTAATTTAGTCAAGTGAAATCCCAACATTATGCCGGAACAACTTTCAGTCTGCTACAATGACAACGGTTTTCAGAAACTAAAAGATATACAGAGCTTTGTCCTTTGTCAAATACCATTTTTATCTCATCTCATGACCTGAATTTTTCATGACCTGTCATTTCACTCATGGCAGGCCACATATATATATAACTTGTCAGGTCGCTTGATGAGACAAAACATGTTATGTGGCATGAAAAGCCAAATATTATCCATTTATAATTGAGATGTTGACTATAACAAGCAGCAAGTCAAACAGTACGTGTTCCAGTGTCTAAACATATTAGTAGTTTTTTTAGAAATGGTAAAAGAACACCCATAAGTTCTTAAATCACCGAAAAATATTATGAACATCCACTTATTTTCCATATACATTATTTTTCCTTTGAAAAGTTCATTTAAGCATTTGGTAACCATCTACTTCTGCTATGTCTGACCGTGCCTTCTGCTTTTGCAGTCCACAGTTATGGAACTCTTTGCCTTTGAATCTGAGAAACTCTGCTTCTAAGGAAACGTTTAAGTCTCTCCTCAAAACCCACTTCTTCACTTCAGCTTTTCAATAGATCTCCTGATTGTTGGCATATGTACATAGACATTACATTTTAACTCTGTCACAGCGCCAGTGAGCAACTGTCGATGGATATTAGGCGCTTTACAAATCAATTATTATTATTATTATTATTATGGTTACAGATTTAATCTCAAAAGTGATGACTTGTTAAAGAAACATATTCTTCTGCTGCCCTGGTGCCTAATGTATGAAGTAATATATTTTTTCTAAGATTATTTTTATGTCAATTTATTGATGAAGGACATACCAAATGGAGATTTCTTTCCAAAATTTAAGTTTAGCAAATTGTGAAATATTATTGTTCATTCCAATGCTGATTGTTGATATTATGTTTGCATACGAGAATAATCGGTTGTGTTAATCCCTCTCACCAGCAACACCAAAAAAGTCAACAGAGGGCATAAACACAACTACACAAATCCGTCCAGATATTAATAGTGTTATGCATTCCATTCTACCCAAGAGGGCTACACACAACATGGAGGATTTAGTATTTCATACAATACCATCAAAATCTTAAGTTGTTTCTCATTTCAAACACTTCTTCAATTGTTGATTCAAAATGGAGGACACAAAGAAATCCTTCTTTTGTAATCAACAAACTATCTGTGTCAGTTTTACATGTTTTGGATTATGTATTTACCATTTTATTTTGATATTAGGACTTTTATTGTCCCTATTCACAGTAAAGCCCAGGAAGTCTTGCATATTGCCTCCCTTGGTCATGCCAGGATCTGGCGATCGAGGTTCAAATCCCCAGACTTGTCACCAATACAAGCATGCCTGTACCATGCAGAGGTAAATGTCTCGGACCTGAAGCACTATGGCTGACCTCCTTCATTAAGCTGACAAACTATGATATCACTGGATACTGTTAAACCCACTCATTATGTGGAGAGTAACGGGATCTGGTTGTCAGGCTTGCTGACTTAGTTGATGCATGTCATCGTATCCCAAATGCGTAGATCGATGCTCATGACGTCAATCACTGGATTGTCTGGTCCAGACTTGATATATATTTACAATCCGCTATCTTATAGCTCGAATATTGCTGAGTGTGGTGTTAATCAAAAAACATTTTAGGATGCAATGCTTTGTTTCTTAAGGATATACCATGCTCATGATACTCTAGAATGTTACTCTGTTAATGTCTTCATTAGTTAATTATCTTAAACAATGGTTGGTTTTTTTTTTTTTGTTTAACGCCGCACTCAGCAATATTCCAGCTATATGACGGCGGTTTGTAAATCGAGTCTGGACCAGACAGTCTGGATTTGGATTCGATGACATACATCAACCAAGTCAGCAAGTCTGACCACCTGTTCCGTTAGTCGCTTCATATGACAAGCATAGTCGCCTTTTACGGCAAGCATGGGTTGCTGAAGACCTATTCTACCCGGGATGTCCACGGGTCTCTTAAACAATGACATACACCAATACTAAACAATTCAAGTTGTATCAGTACGAGGGCCGAAATATTGCATGATGTACAATAGATCCCTGCTCACTAGTGTTTGTCAACTTAATGAGGGTCGGTTGTTGACAGTGGCTGATGGGTAAGGGAGGCGAACTCCATTGAGCACAGCGGACTGGTTTGTCTGGTCCACATTGGATGGCTTTGAAGACTCCAGCAAAAATAACCATTCACACACTCATGCAATGAGTTATTGGAAGTCACCTGTTATTTATGTAGTCATGACACAGGCTATTGCTGCCTCCAGGAATCATGTGTATGAACCTCTCTAGACTGCACTGTTTGTGTTTAAAACATATTTATTTTGTAGAAATCTTGCCATGCATTAACTGACGTGTATCATGTTTTGTAACCTGCTTTGTGTCGCATAGCGGTTGACATTGTTTTCTTGATGACTTGGTTTACATATATATTCTTAGGTATCTCAGGAGTCAGTGGTCGAAATGATTATGAAGCACAAAAAAAATTTATCTAATGATATCTTGAAAGTATTGTCAATCAGGTGAAAATAAAAATAATGTGTTCTGTGAAAGTCAAGACAAAGGGATACTTCATTCCTAACAAACCATGCAGTATTTTTCACAAATGAAATTAGATAACAGACTCTTCAGGATTATAAACATTTTAATGTGTACACATGTATTTTGCCGGCCACTGCTCCTCCATGCTTGTTTGATGCAACTAATACTGTCGCACGTGACAGCGTTACTTTTGTATCAAAAGGCGATAAAGGTGAACAAAATGCAAGTTGGAGACCCAACATAAAAAATTGCTTGATAAGAAAAGTTGCATAATGCCATGCAGAACCATACACCCAGTAATTAAACATGTACAATGTCTGAACTATTGTTTCTGTTGTTATTGAACTACAACAAAGTCATTGAGGGAAGCAGAAGGTTTAGTGAGGGGAAGAATAAGGTCACTCTATACCGTGTACGTATTACACAATACCTTATGGTCTCATTTTCATTTCGTATTCATTTCAAAGTAGTTTTAATGTGTTGTTCTTTTTCAATGCAGAAATGAATTATAGTAGGAAATGAATAGAAACCATTTTGGTATCAGATGTATTCACTACATATACAGAGGAAAGCTGCCCTCAAACATACTATTTTCCTGTATATTATATATCTGTATATAAATGTATATCTCCATGGCTACCGCTATGCTATTTCTGTGATGCATTACCTCTATTCTCCAATCAGTTGGATTATCTAACTGTGATATGTATGTTTTTTTCATCTGTATCAAATCCTCATTTTTGCATCATCAAACAAACTACAACAATTGGTCAGGTGGCCTAGTGGTTAGTGCATTTGCTTGCTTACAGTTTTTGATGTGATGTGTGTATCAATTTTCATGAGACTGGTACCATCTTCATTGATCCAGGGTATTATATCTCCATTCTGTTAAGATAAATACCCTGGACCAATTTGCCCCCTTCACATTTCTCATCTCTAAATCACTGCATTGTTTGGTCCAGGCTTGATTATTAACAGACTGCTGTCATATAGATGGAATATTGCTGACGGGGCGTTAAACAACAAACAAAGGACAGAATATATTCTTGTTCATGAGATTTATGTGATTGAAGGCTGATTTTTAGCACTGTTCCCTGTGATATTTGGCTCAGTATGGAACGATGACGAATAAATTAATTCCCTGGATAATAGAGGATGGACTCATACAGCCATCTGTGCAACATCCAACACGTGTGATAAGATAGCATGTAACTCTGGAAGGTTACTGTGTGTTGGAATGGTAGTGGACAATAAGCGCCCCCTCAGCAACTTCTCGATCAATCCCTTAGTAAGCTAAGCCTTATATAAGCGCTCCCTATAAGATTTATACAATTGACATGACAGTCCATATCTTGTGTATATTGCACCTCTGTTACAGAACACAGCAGTGCAGAAGGGTCAAATACTTGCCAAGTGACTATATGATTGTGGCTGTTAACCTTCTAGCACCTCACTGGCAGCTTGGGTTGTATACTCCCCAGGGAGCTGAGAATGAAAAAAATCGAGTGCACTGGCCAGGGTAATAATGTTAGCGCTTTGAACATATACCTCATATAAGGAGTTTAGTATTAGTACAAATTATTATTATTATTATTATTATTATTATTATAATTAAAACGTTTTGGTTTGATCATGCTTGAACTGAATTTGTTCTCTCCAACTCAGTCTCTGACAACACATTTGACTTGTTGTGAATGGTTTTAATAAGCGCCTCCCCTTGTCAATTTCCTAAGTGTCTGGGCTGTTATTACAGTAAATATTGTCCTTGTGTGAATAATGTACCATGTTGCCCAGGGCTTGTAGAAGGAATAGTCAGTGTTGCCGTCTGAAGGAAATCTGTCTCACTTCCCTGTTTATTGTGTGCTTCTGGAAGTGTTGATGCTCTGATTTCCGCCACTTCCCTGTTTATTGTGTGCTTCTGGAAGTGTTGATGTTCTGATGTCCGCCACCACTGCTAGCTGTGCCTCTTGTGTGACACACAGAGCACCGTCCATCACTGTCTGTGACTGTAGAATAAAACATGTTTTACTGGATGCCATCTTGTCTTTGTTACTCAGAGGAACAGAATGTAACATATGCTACTCCATAAAAGTTAAGGACCTCCCAATTAATTTATATTACTATAGTTAATTTGTCGTGCCTGAAGCAATATGAAAGAATCGGGTGGTCCTTACCTTTATTTGAGTAGTATGTGCTATATTTGGGGTTATGCTTTCTTAGAAAAGTACAAATTCGAGGACTAGGTCTGGAACCCACTCTCTGAGTAATCTGCACCTTATCACCAGCAAACACATTCTGCAACCTAACCCACTCTTTAACCTCTTGGGTCATGTGGACAAGGGGCGCGTTGCAAGCCACGAATCACTTAGAGAAAGCAAATTCATCGCTAAACCCGGGGTCTGCAACAGTTCGAAGCGCTTAATTGCGCACTCTTCCAAAATGGCGGCACAACTACCGCTTGGTTGCCTTGACGTTTGTTTGTTTGTTGTTTAACGCCGCACTCAGCAATCTTCCAGCTATATGACGGCGGTTTGTAAATAATCGAGTATGGACCAGACAATCCAGTGGTTGACATCATGAGCATCTATCTACGTAATTGGGATACGATGACATGCATCAACCATGTCAGCGAGCCTGACCATCTGCGTAATGAAGAACGTAATAGAAGAGGCTCGATGACGAGCTGATGAAATTTATGACTACTTTGAAGATGTGGAGCAGACTGAGGATGATGGGGTGTTAGCTACCTTTGCTCATTTTCTCGTTGATCCAGTCAAGAATTCCTTGTTCCGCTGTCAAAGTAAGCCGCCATTTTGGTTTGAGAACGAAGCGACCTCAGTCAGCGATTGTTTCGCTTGCAAGTGGCTGAAAGTTAGCGCACTGTTGTAAGGCGAATCGCTGTACATCGCTTACAAGCGATTGGCGCTTTGCAACGCGCCCAAGGTGTCCGACCTGGAATACCATCAGGTAACTCGAAAATGTTATGGCTGCTACACGTAGATAGATGCTTATGATCACTGGATTGTCTGGTCCAGGCCGCCGTCTTATAGCTGGAAGGGCAGTATTAACAACAAACAGACGCAGTCAATTCTGAGCTGTACAGAAATTAGGTGTTTACTTTAAATGTAGGCCAAAACAAACAAACAAAACAACAATTTGAACAAACACTATGTCCGAGCTTCTTTCTACCCAAATAAATAGAAGCTGAGCTTAGCGTGCTGACAGTGGAACCTGTTTACTGCCACGTTAATTTCCTTGTGTCATGTGACAGTCACGTGCACAAAACTATATTTCAATATGGATTCCTGCAAGTGCTGGCTGAGAACCTATTAGGCCGAGACGAGTGGGTGGTGTGGGGTGATAGTTCACTTGACAGACACATAGACAGAATGCAAGAAGTCAATTCATGGTATCATCCTTGTGATAATGCTGCGACAAGCTGACTCAAACATCTACGGATACACATTGCACAGCCTCACTGCCTGCTGACAGCTCAGCATGGATGTCACATGGATCACCCTGATAAGAGGAAGGAGGCCAAACTTCATTTCCTGAAACGTGACAAAAGATGTTTAAATATATAAAAGGTTTTGTGAAAATATATTCAAAATTTCCTAAGCTCTTCTCCAAAAACAATTCCAGGCCTCAAATCTATAGACTGTAAATCTTTGCATTTACTGTCAGGGTTACGAAATGCTTTTTCTTCTCTTGAATGAACAGTAAGTTTATCTTCTTTGGTAGGCATTTAGAAGTTGGAGTACCAAGTAGGGATAAGAATTTATAGATGAACAACTTCTTTATTACAATTAAGAGCGACGTTTCGGTGTAGGTTCTAACACTTGCTTGATAACGGTGTTAGAACCTACGCTGAAACGTCACTCTTAATTGTAATAAAGAAGTTGTTCATCCATAAATTCTTATCCTTATTCAGTAAGTTTATGATATTTTATTACACTTTTCATACCCCCGTTTATTAGAGATAACAGCATGGTGAATAAGAGTAACAGTGAGTTGTGCCTGATGCTGTATTGTACAGGACTGACACGGGATTGCACTGTGGGAAGAAGGCCCGAAGTGATGCAGGGCTTCACCACTTCGGTCAGTATGGTGCTGACAAAGCCACAAACATGCAGCAAATCTCCTATGCTATAGACCATCACACTATCCATAGTTATACCACGCGAAGTGTCCACTTGTGTGTAGATCACTGTGGTCACTAGTGTGGATAGTAGACGGCTTGTGTAGATAGTAGACATCTTGTGTGGATAGTAGACCTCTTGTATGGATAGCAGACATCTTGTGTGGATAGTAGACATCTTGTGTGGATAGTAGACATCTTGTGTGGATAGTAGACCATTGTGTGGATAGTAGACCATTGTGTGGATAGTAGACATCTTGAATGGATAGTAGACATCTTGTGTGGATAGTAGAGATCTTGTGTGGATAGCAGACATCTTGTTTGGATTGTAGACCACTTGTGTGGATAGTAGACCACTGTGTGGATAGTAGACATTTTGTTTGGATAGTAGACCACTTGTGTAGATAGTAGACATCTTTGAAATTTGATGGATGTTTAGAACAAACAATTTACATTACAAGTCTGCGTTACCTACCGAAACTGTTACTATTTGGAATAACAAGCAATTGTCAAGAGGTAGTCATTACACAATAATATGTAAAAGCGTGCGTGCGTGCCTGCGTACGTGTGTACGTATGTTTTGTTTGTTGTTTAACGCAGCACTCCAGCGGTATGGCGGGGGTCTGTAAACGGGAGCAGAACCAGAATTGATTCGTGTCTTAGACGAGGCGAAGAGCAACGGTATGGTGCTGACAAACTCAGAAAAATAATCCTGGCGCACCGGGATTCGAATGATGATAGGTTTCTTTAGGTGTCCGTTAAGATATGTGCACAAATTGCTCACAACTTGAAAACTGACCTGACGAGGTGTGAATATGAAACTTGAAATTCTTATTGTGTATTTCCATCGCGGGATTATTTACATTCAGAAGGGTGTTCAGTGACTTAGGCGGCCTTGAGGAGAGACATTGACGTCAATTTGGCCTGTCAACTACATTTCTTATTGACCCATTAATAAAACGTTCATCTCTGACATATAACGCACTGGATAATCGAGGATGGTTTGGCGATCACTGTATCATGTAACTATAACTGTCACATGGTGTTATTATTAACACCATATTTGGAGGGACCAATCAAAGATCCAGTGGCACCGTTTTTGGTGCCTTTTGAAATGACGAAGTCATTCGAATCGATGCTTTTGATTTGTCATAGATTCAACGCGGGCTTGGGTTGTTTTGTGTCGGGGATATATTCAATACAATATATTCAGAGGCGTGGCGGGTAGGATATATATTGATCAGCGCGCCCGGCTAGGCCGACGCCATTCTCATTTCTACAGAGCTAAAATACGAGTGTTTGTGGTTATGGCCTCTCGCTGTGTGGGTGATTCACAGTATCGATCGACAGGTCTATATATTGTCACACTAAGCGAGTCTATACATTAGATAAAACGCCAGTACATACCCAAGACATTCCTTGAGATACACGAATGATCATTTGGAGATATAAGATACAAAAAAATGTCTTTCGTCAGGCCCCAGAACTTTTAGCCTGTGTTCAGTCTCCGTGTGGTGAGACTCCAACTGTGCTCTGATTGGAAACATGGCAACGAAGTCAGGGCGACTTCCAAATAGTAAGTAATGCCATTTGCAGTTTAGCATACAGTAAATACGTTTATTACGAACACGTTTATAACTAACTAACGGATATAACGAACTGGTTTTTTTTGTCTCAGCTATTTGCTGTGTATATGCTGTATATATGCTTATAACGAACAGCGGTTTTAACGAACTAAAATTAGTGGTCCCTTTGAGTTCGTTATAACCGTAGTTTACTGTATTTGTTAAACCTATATAAGCGCAAATACAGCTGTGTTTAAAAGGAGACCACAATATGACATCAAGGTACAATATATAAGACTATAGAAGAACGGAACATGTGGCTACTATGCCTGGGGAGTCCGCTCAGCATCTTTACTACTCAAAAGAAGTTAAGGAACTCCCGATTTCTTCATATTCCTATGACTGATCTGCCATGCCATGACAAGTTAACTCTAGTAACATGAAAGAAGCGGATGTTTTTTGTTTGTCTGTTTGTTGTTTAACGCCGCACACAGCAATATTCCAGCTATATGACGGCAGTCTGTAAATAATCGAGTCTGGACCAGACAATCCACTGATAGACATCATAAGCATCGACCTACGCAATTGGGTCTTGCATCACCCAAGTCAGAGAGCCTGACATGACCACCCGATCGCGTTAGTCGCTCTTACGGTAATCATGAGTTGTTGAAGACCAATTCTAACCCGGATCTTAGCTGGTCCCGCGTTCGTTATCTTCTTTTGGGTGGTATATATAGAGCATTGCCATAGAGAATGTGCATTCCCTGAACAGTCGCTGGCTGTATTTTACAGGCCCTCTGGGATTGGCCTGACTCTGTGACGTAGCCTGAATGTTGCTGACTTGCGTCAATGAATAAAGGATAGCTTGAACTAAACTGTCGGGCAATAAAAAGTATACATTCATGTTTGACTAAGATGAAACAAACAAGAAATGGTTATTCGATGTTGATGTATTTGATACGGGTATCAAAGCTGTGTTTTGAACCTAATGTTTGCAGTTTTCGGCGACTGTTTTCTTCCTTGTAACGTTGTCATTTGTCCAAATCCAATTTTAAAGCGTATCCCCCCCAAACACACACACACAATTGGTCTTCGGCAACCCATGCCAGTCGTAAGAGACGACCCATGCCAGTCGTAAGAGGCGCCTAACGGGATCGGGTGGTCAGATTCGCTGACTTGGTTAAAGCATGTCATCTTATCCCAATTGTGTAGATGGATGCTCATGGTGCCAATCCCTGGATTTTCTGGTCCAGACTCGATTATTTACTGACCGCCCTTATAGAGCTGGAATATTGCTAAGTGCGGCGTTAAACGACAAACAAACAAACAAAACGAAGACACCTTGGAGAAACCCATACAGAGATGGTGCAGGCAGACAAGTTTTAATTTGATACTGTTGTTGACTATGTCGCTCTTGTTCTTACGTGATTAGGACATCCCAGGTGATTGAAAGCTTGTTTCTGTGTATTCTTTTTGTATATAGCTGTTGCTATGCACTTACAATATTGAAAACGCAAGACACAATGGTCAAATATTGATTGTATCAGGCGAGTCGGCATCTTATCCCTATATCTAGATTGCTTGTTTGTTTTGGAAACACGGGGGAATGCTCCATGCTAACTGTGACAATAACTCTCCAGTGCGTCAATCGCTTATTTGATGTTGACACAGTAAAGAAAAAGCAATGAGGTAAGCGAAGACATCGAGCAACATCTAAAGACTGGAAGACTTACAGTAACACGTGACCTACACGGTGTATCACAGCTGAATTCCCTTTCTGCACACGGCACTAGTGTTAAACATACCACTGTGTGTCACAAAACGCCCGTCAATGTTTTCCAATATAAACAAAACAGAATAATTAAAACATATTTGAAGATATTCTCAGAATCCAAAAGAACCATAAAGGTATAATGTTGTATGAATGATAATTATTATTACATCAGAAACTCCTGGTTCAAAGCATCATGATCGGCAATTCCGGCAAATTAACTCGGCAATTAAACCACTTTCTACTTCACCAAAAACGTTTCATAAAGATTTAACGTTTATATAATATCACTAACTTAAGATATTGCCAACTGAAACTCAGAGATATAAGACAATCAACTGAGAGATACAGTTTTATAGAGTATATCCTCACAAAATACATAATACATGCATTTGTATATATTCCATCTCATTCATTGCTTTGTTTAAAGATTCCAGATAATGGGTAACGCCGCTTCAACCAAAAACAAAAACAAATTGATAATAGATAAAACTGTAGCAGCTCGTAACCCGGCAACAACTCCGAAAGACAAAGGCAAATGTCTTAAAGCTGAGACTAAGGGAGACAAACACGGCAGCCAAAACTACCACGAAACGCTGCCAGACGAGGCTGGTAGCCTAGCAACACAACCCAAAAGGGGGAAGTAACGTCCAAGAATTTCAGGGCGAGGCAGAACATCACGTGACCAGACACTGCAAAGAATCAGATGTCTTCAATGCAAGATGCCCTGTCGCAGAATGCTGACCTCTGTAAGTATGCCTGATTGACATAGAGTTAAGTTAGGATAAGATCTATGGATGAAGAACTTCTTTATTACAATTAGGAGCGACGTTTCGGTGTAGGTTATAACACTTGCTTGATAACGGTGTTAGAACATACACCGAAACGTCGCTCCTAATTGTAATAAAGAAGTTCTTCATCCATAGATCTTATCCTGACTTAGTACACCAACGTCTAAATGCCTCACAAAGTCGTCACATAGAATTGTTTGCTTTGAATCAAGGGTAATTTCAATACACGATCATATATATTATCAGGTTCGTATAGAAATCGTTTTCTTCCCACATTTAAAATAACTTCATGTTGTTTTTTACGAACTGTTTTTAATTGCCAAATAATGTGCATCGCGCAGTTTATTTAAACTTTACTTCGTCAGTGTCAATTGACACAACAATTCATCACCGAGGCCAGTTCAAGGACTTACACTGTGGGGTACGTTTTCCTTAGGCAATGAATTCCATGAAACCATAAGGGTGATGCTCCCTGATTGCTTTCATTTCAGAATAGTTACACTATTTGTGGTTGTATTTTAAGTATGCAGATGACATCTTGTACGAGACATTCAAGCATGTCTGTCTAACGGGGGGATGCGCTTCTGTCTGGATGGCGCGCAGTCCAAGATGTGTTACGGAAGCAGTTTCAAATAATGATAACATAATAATGATAATTCGCGATGGACACCAAGACATTACAGACTGCGTCCATTGGAATACAAAATATGTGCATGCATTTATACGAATGAATGCTTCTTGTCCATAATTTGGTGCCAGTCAGGCAAGACGGGTGCGCCGGATCGGCTTGGCAATATTGGATCTACCAACTCGGCTTGGGTCGGGCAAGACGGGAGCGCCAGCATTCGTCACCACTCGCCCCTTTCCGTAACCTGCAAGAAGACTCGTCCCCCATATCGATGAATGTTATGTGCGAAAATACGACAAACCAAACAAAATGCGCGTATGATTTAAGTTCTTTGTCAAAGAATCCCTCAGATATATTTTTTTTATTTTACAGTTAAATGTGTTCAATCATGCTGTATAATACCTTAAGTCCCGATGTGTCTTAAACAGCATCTGGAACATATATGACATATGGGAACATTTGCGTGTTGTGTCGGGCAAGACGGGAGCGCCGGCTGGGCATCAGTCGGGCAAGACGGTAGCGCCGGCTGGGCATCAGTCGGGCAAGACGGGAGCGCTGGCACAGCTTGGGTAGGGCAAGACGGGAACGCCGGCTCGGCTTGTGTTGGGCAAGACGAGAGCGCCGAGTCGGCTTCGATCGGGCAAGACGAGAGCGCCGGTTCACCTAGGGTCGGGGAAGTCGGGAGCGCCGGCACAGCTTGGGTCGGGCAAGACGGGAACGCCGGCTCGGCTTGTGTCGGCTTGTGCTGGGCATCAGTCGGGCAAGACGGGAGCGCCGGCTCACTTAGGGTCGGGCAAGACGGGTGCGCCGGAACAGCTTGGGTCGGGCAAGACGGTAGCGCCGGCTGGGCATCAGTCGGGCAAGACGGGAGCGCCGGCACAGCTTGGGTCGGGCAAGACGGGAACGCCGGCTCGGCTTGTGTCGGGCAAGACGGGAGCGCCGGCTGGGCATCAGTCGGGCAAAACGGGAGCGCTGGCACAGCTTGGGTCGGGCAAGACGGTAGCGCCGGCTCACTTAGGGTCGGGCAAGACGGGTGCGCCGGCACAGCTTGGGTCGGGAAAGACGGTAGCGCCGGCTGGGCATCAGTCGGGCAAGACGGTAGCGCCGGCTCGGCTTGTGTCGGGCAAGACGGGAGCGCCGGCTGGGCATCAGTCGGGCAAGACGGGAGCGCTGGCACAGCTTGGGTAGGGCAAGACGGGAACGCCGGCTCGGCTTGTGTTGGGCAAGACGAGAGCGCCGAGTCGGCTTCGATCGGGCAAGACGAGAGCGCCGGCTCACCTAGGGTCGGGGAAGTCGGGAGCGCCGGGTCGGCTTGGATCGGGCAAGACGGGAGCGCCGGCTGGGCATCAGTCGGGCAAGACGGGAGCGCTGGCAAAGCTTGGGTAGGGCAAGACGGGAACGCCGGCTCGGCTTGTGTTGGGCAAGACGAGAGCGCCGAGTCGGCTTCGATCGGGCAAGACGAGAGCGCCGGCTCACCTAGGGTCGGGGAAGTCGGGAGCGCCGGCACAGCTTGGGTCGGGCAAGACGGGAACGCCGGCTCGGCTTGTGTCGGCTTGTGCTGGGCATCAGTCGGGCAAGACGGGAGCGCCGGCTCACTTAGGGTCGGGCAAGACGGGTGCGCCGGAACAGCTTGGGTCGGGCAAGACGGTAGCGCCGGCTCGGCTTGTGTCGGGCAAGACGGGAGCGCCGGAACAGCTTGGGTCGGGCAAGACGGGAACGCCGGCTCGGCTTGTGTCGGGCAAGACGGGAGCGCCGGCTGGGCATCAGTCGGGCAAAACGGGAGCGCTGGCACAGCTTGGGTCGGGCAAGACGGTAGCGCCGGCTCACTTAGGGTCGGGCAAGACGGGTGCGCCGGCACAGCTTGGGTCGGGCAAGACGGTAGCGCCGGCTCGTCTTGTGTCGGGCAAGACGAGATCGCCGGGTCGGCTTGGATCGGGCAAGACGAGAGCGCCGGCTCGGCTTGTGTCGGGCAAGACGGGAACGCCGGCTCGGCTTGTGTCGGGCAAGACGGGAGCGCCGGCTGGGCATCAGTCGGGCAAGACGGGAGCGCCGGCACAGCTTGGGTCGGGCAAGACGGGAACGCCGGGTCGGCTTGGATTGGGCAAGACGGGAGCGCCGGCTGGGCATCAGTCGGGCAAGACGGGAGCGCTGGCACAGCTTGGGTAGGGCAAGACGGGAACGCCGGCTCGGCTTGTGTTGGGCTGTTCTGGCACAGCTTGGGTCGGGCAAGACGGGAGCGCCGGCTCAGCCTGTGTCGGGCAAGACGGGAGCGCCGGGTCGGCTTGGATCGGGCAAGACGAGAGCGCCGGCTCGGCTTGTGTCGGGCAAGACGGGAACGCCGGCTCGGCTTGTGTCGGGCAAGACGGGAGCGCCGGCTGGGCATCAGTCGGGCAAGACGGGAGCGCCGGGTCGGCTTGGGTCGGGCAAGTCGGGAGCGCCGGCTCATCTAGGGCTGACAAGACTTGGATCGGGCAAGACGAGAGCGCCAGCTCGGCTTGTGTCGGGCAAGACGGGAACGCCGGCTCGGCTTGTGTCGGGCAAGACGGGAGCGCCGGCTGGGCATCAGTCGGGCAAGATCGGGCTCGGCTTCTGTCGGGCAAGACGGGAACGCCGGCTCGGCTTGTGTCGGGCAAGACGAGAGCGCCGGCTCGGCTTGTGTCGGGCAAGACGGGAACGCCGGCTCGGCTTGTGTCGGGCAAGACGGGAGCGCCGGCTGGGCATCAGTCGGGCAAGACGGGAGCGCCGGGTCGGCTTGTGTCGGGCAAGTCGGGAGCGCCGGCTCACCTAGGGCTGACAAGACGAGAGCGCCGGCTCACCTAGGGTTGGGCAAGTCGGGAGCGCCGGCTCGGCTTGTGTCGGGCAAGTCGGGAGCGCCGGGGTCGGCTTTCGGAAAAAAACGGGAGAGCCGGCTCAGCTTGGGTCGCTCAGCCTGTGTCCGGCAAGACGGGAGCGCCGGCTGGGCTTGAGTCGGACAAGACGGGAGCGCACGGCTCGGCCTGGGTCGGGCAAGATTGGAGCGCACGGCTCGGCCTGTGTCGGGCAAGACGGGAGCGCCGGCTCGGCTTGAGTCGGACAAGACGAGAGCGCACGGCTCGGCTTGGGTCGGACAAGATTTGAGCGCCGGGTCGGCCTGGGTCGGACAAGATTGGAGCGCACGGCTCGGCTTGGGTCGGGCAAGTCGGGAGCGCCGGCTCGGCTTGTGTCGGGCAAGTCGGGAGCGCCGGGGTCGGCAAGACGGGAGCGCACGGCTCGGCCTGGGTCGGACAAGACGGGAGCGCATGGCTCGGCTTGGGTCGGACTACCCTTGAGAAGGAGGTGGTTGAGGGGGAAGAAGGGGAGAAGGAGGGGGTTGATGAGGCAGAGGGGAGATGGAGGGGGTTGGTGAGGCAGAGGGGAGACGGAGGGGGTTGATGAGGCAGAGGGTGAGATGGAGGGGGTTGATTAGGCAGAGGTAGAGGGGAAGAAGGAGGGTGATACATATGAAACGAAGTTAATTGATGCAGTCACGCAAACTCAGTTATACAGAATTAGTTATGAACATTTTTGTTGGCAGGGGTGGCAGTTTTTTCCCGAGTTCCGGAACAAGGAGCGCACACTCAGCAGCAACAGTGCAGACAAAGGGTAGAGTTGGGGAGGGTGGTAAGAGTGGCCTGATTGTGTGAGTGAAGCAGCAAAGGAAATAATGGGCACATGTAACCTTGTCAGCGGCAGGAGGAGTGCGCAAGATTTGTTTGTTTGTTTTTTAACACCGCACTCAGCAATATTCCAGCTATATGACGGCAGTCTGTAAATAATCGAGTCTGGACCAGACAATCCAGTGATTGACATCATGAACATCGATCCACGTGATTTGGATACGATGACATGCATCAACCAACTAAGCGAGCCTGACCACCTGATCCAGTTAGTCGCCTCCTACGACAAGCATAGTTGCAAGAATTGGTTGCTGAAAAACTATTTTAACCCGGATCTTCACGAGTCGAGGTTGTCACTGTGAAAATGTCATTTGTTTAAGTAATTGCTCAATCCATGTAATAATGCTTTATTTGTCAGCTGGTTAGACAGTTGTGTTCCCCATTTTTCTCGACGATGTGTGCGTTGTCATGGTACAAAAGGTATATGACGGCGGTCTGTAAATAATAGAGTCCGGACCAGACAATCCAGTGATTGATATCAAGAGCATCGATCCACGCAATTGGGATCGATCACATGCTTCAAACCAAGTCAGCGAGCCTAACCACCCGATCCCATTAGTCGACTACGACAAGCATAGTCGCCTTTTACAGCAAGCATGGGTTGCTGAAGACCTATTCTACCCCGGATCTTCACGGGTCGCGAACCATAGAATAATGTAGAGAAGTATGTACGCAAAGAAGAGATGTGTCGAATGTGTACAACATAATGACAATTCTAACAATCAGTCACGTGTTTTCACGGAGTGTCTTTATTCTTATCATGATATGCTGTACGTGATTTCCAAACTAATGGAAATGCTAATCCTGCACAAGACAAATGGTGTATCTTGAGTCATGGATCTATGACATCACAGGTGATGCGTTGTGGAGCGTCGGTTCAAACAACATAGCAGTATGTTTGTTTGTGCATCGAACCAATTTAATGCCTCTTGTATATAAGTAATTTTTCATATAGTAACAAACATGTGTGGTAGTCGCGTTTCTTTTGTCGTTGAGTATATTTGGTACATTTTAATGACAAAATTGTTGATGTAGAAACACTTTTCTGGTTTTCATTGTGTACTTTATATTTATTGGTGACGGAATGAATGATATGAAGATAGCAGATAAATGTTTGTTTTGTCCTGTGAAATGTGTGTTTTGTGATAAATGTGTTAAAAGCTATGATATACAAACGTGGGCGTAAATGGAATGGATGGAGGCTACCGGTGAGAAACACGGGTAGGGTCTTATACACTGGAGGGAACCAGTTATTCCAAGAAAGCAACTGCGTTTCAAGTCCATGAATAATAGCACATGTGTAAAGACATGTAATATGATTGACATCATGAGCATCGATGAACGCAATGACGAAGATGTGCATCAACCAAGTCAGCGATCCTGACCACCTGATCCCTTTGGTCGCCTTTTACGGCAAGCATGGGTTGCTAAAAACCTGTTCTAGTCCGGATCTTCACGGGTCTAATTTGCTGGGTACCGTACATTGTGTTAAACATGGGAATGGTACTGGTGCCTTCTTGTACTGTGTTTATCACCATGTGTGCAGCACCGTATCCCTGTCGTTTCCGTCCAAGTTACTAGCTTTTTGTGATATTTGCTTCAGTTGTAATTTCTGAATTGTAATCTCTCACTAAATAATTTCATAATGTTCTTAAAAAGACTTTGTTCCATGAGTGAGAACAGTTGTATATTTTGTCGTTGTCATTAAGGGTTTTAGGAAATAAAATGAAATGTATTGTAGTTTGTGTGAAACTGTGTACTCTTGAATATATTTACACTTTCTTGTTTATTGTTATAGTTATGCAAATTATTGTTCTCCAGTGAAAATTAAAAGGAAATTCCTGAAATGATGTACAAGGTTGGTGTTGTTTTGTATTGTTTGAGTATTTTTCAATACTATCTCAAATGGTCCTTGAACAGAAGGATGACAAATCATTCAGAAACATTCGCGCGAACGCACCACTTGTTAAAGTGTGGTGTTCTGGACAGCACGTGGCGCACGGGCTGCATGCGCAAATGTGTGCGGCGGGGAACTCTGTCCCTAGCCTTGTCACTTGAACAGTCATGCTTGGTAGAGAGCAGCCATGTAGACGGTGGCTGCCTCTGACAGTGTCAAATCAGGGCACAATGGTCGGAATTAAAGTCAAATGAGGACTTTAATAAAACCAAATAAGGGTTTTTTCGTAGTCAAATAAGGACTGAAATATAGTCAAATAAGGACTGAAATATAGTCAAATAAGGACTGAAATATAGTCAAATAAGGACTAAAACATTGTCAAATAAGGACAAATCGTGGTAAATAGTTATTTTAGAAATTGTTTCTGAAATCGTGGGTCAATTCAAATATGGTGTAAATTTGTGTTTTACTTATTAAACAGACATTAACTTTAAGTTTTGTTGAGTTATATATTTTAGACTTCCACTGCGTATCAAAATGGTAGCAGAGCGTGGTTACCATACCAATAGTTGATAAATCACATGTTGATGTGATTTGAACAGACAGTTTAGTTTCATTGTACATAGTTTCGATATAGCATAGTCAACTGGAAATTGGTTGTATGATAAACCACAGGTGGTAATTCATAGTGTTTATCCAACAACCGTTACCATAGTATTTATACACTGTATGTTTAACCGTGTACATTAGCGTTGGGTATTATGTTGAATTTGTATCAGAAAACTTGATCACGTGTTAGCTTACAAACATGTCCCATACTAGTGTAATCTCTCTCATAAAAGGGAAAATGGACAAAACAGAGCTTACACTTGATACAATTGCAGACATACCTCTGCCTGAGTCTGATGGTATTTCAAACAAAACAGATTATGAATCTACAATGAACTCTCTGAAGAGGCAAAAAATGATAGTTAAATCAGCTTTCACAAAATCAAAAAATGCTTTGGAGAAGCTAGTTGATCAAGGAGATATTCCATCACGAATGGAAGTTCGGGAAGCTATAGACAAATTAAACAGTTGCCAGCTAAAGGCTTTAGAAGTTATTGTGAACCTGTCAGAACTGTTTGAAGCTGTTGGTGATAAAAACAATATGGTCAAGGTCACACAGGAAGGTGAATTATTAGAAGAGGTAGGTACTAAAGCTCAAGACGATGCACAGGACTATCTCAGAAATAGGTCTGATGCAATTTCCAAATATTGTCTGTCACAAATGTTTAATTCTGAAAAGAAGGTAGATGTGAAAGATGTTCCTGTAAAAAACGCTTCTTGTCATACGAAATCAGTCGGTGGGCAATCAGGTTATCAAGTAGAAACACATCATGAACCAGTTCAGATGGTGAGGCAGCATTCAGATAGTTGTTACAATCGTAGGACACCTACACTTTCACACAGTTATGATATTGGTAAAGACATGTGGAAACAGTTGAAGCGTGTGTCCATCCCTGTCTTTACTGGAGATGTCAAATCATATGAAGCCTGGAAGGCTGCATTTATTGCTTGTATAGACAAAGCACCTGCCACACCAGAATATAAGTTGCTTCAGCTGCGCCAGTATGTTAGTGGTGATGCAATGAAGGTCATTCAAGACTTAGGTCACAGCGCAGCAGCCTATGGTGTAGCTCTTGAGAGACTGGAACGTAAATTTGGAGGAGTGAGACGTCATATTGCTCTCCAATTGGAAGATATTTCATCCTTCAAGCCAGTGCGACCTGGTAATGCAAAGGACTTTGAACGGTTTGCTGATATGCTGGATGTTGTGGTTGTGAACCTAAGGGAGTCTGATAGGTTAGAAGAGTTAGGCAATGGATCTTTGTATGTACAGATTCTGAAGAAAATGACGGAATCCATGATCAGTCAATACCAAAGATGGATATTTGAAACTCAACGACAGGAGTCAGTTGAAGCATTGCGTGAATGGGTTTTAATGGAAGCAGAATTCCAGATCATTGCTTCAGAAACCATCAATGGGTTAGCTGTTAAAGGAAAGACAATATACCATAAAGGTCCAAACAAATCCGGGTCTTTCTTTGGTAACAAACAGTCTGAAAGAGATCACAGATGTCAGTTGTGTCACATGGACAACCATGACATTGTGACATGTCGGAAGTTTAAATCAATGACAGTTCCCAGGAGATG